GACCGAGTTTGAAAACTTTGTCCACTCGGACCCAGAGAGACTCAGCGCCGCCAAGAGAGGTATTACTCTGTTGCTTTTACTCGTGTTTTTCCTTTGTCCTCTCGACTCTGGACTTGTTTTTATTTCTTACCTGCCTGTCTTGTGTGCTCAGCTCTGCAGTGTTTCCTCCGGGCCTACACCTCGTACCCCTCTCACCTCAAACACATCTTCCACATCCGACACCTCCATCTGGGCCACAGCGCCAAGAGCTTCGGCCTGAGGGACGCTCCACGAGGGCTGGGAGAGGCCACCAGGAGCTCCAAGACCGGAAAGAGACCGGAGAAGAGGCAGGACAAGAGGACAGGAAAACCACAGCCATGGAAGAAGAATCAGAAGGAGTCGGGAGCAAAGAAGAAGAGGTGAGGGGGGAGACCGGGGCGTGTGTGGGGCAGAATGATGAAACATGTGGCTGCCATAAAAACACAGTCACCCTGAAGAACAGGAACAGTGGCAGTAAAGTGCTGTAAAGCTGTAAAGTTGCAAAAGAGAGTTTAAAGTGCATTTGACAGGTTTTTAAGGTTTTCTAGTGGTTAGTGCAGCTGCTGCAGCTGTGACTCCAGTGTGGAAGAGGTTTATCTGTGCGAAACTCTGTGTAACACTGTACAACTCTGCGTAGCTCTTATTAACTCTGTATAACTCTGTGAAACTCTGAAACTCGATGTAACTCAAAGAAACTCTGCGTAACTCAGTGTAACTCTGTGAAACTCAGTGTAACTCTGTGAAACTCAGTGTAACTCTGCGTAAGTTGCGAAACTGCGTAACTCTGTAACGCAGCGTAACTATGTGACACTGTAACTCAGTAACATTATATAACTGCGTAACTCTATATAACTCTGAGTAACTCTGCAAAACTCTGCGAAACTGTGCAACTGCGTAACTCTGGCTAACTGTACAACTCGGTGTAACTCTGCGAAACTCTGTGTGTGACTCTGTGAAACTCAGTGTATTTGTTCTTGTTTCCAGGTGGAGCGGCTCTCACAGAGACTCAGACCTGCTCCGCTCAGAGTTTTCCTCTGGACTTCAGCCCAAGACCAAGAAGAACCGCTCCAAGACTCAGGAGGAACCGGGGCCAGGGGAGTCCTGACCTGGTTTAGATCTGGACGAGTTCTGCTTTAGTCCAGGACTTTTATACGAACTCTGGTGAATGCTGTGACGTGTGAGAAAAAGAATCTGAAAAATACTGTAAATGAACTTTTAAAATAAATATTGTCTGTCTGTTTCTGTGAGATCTTTTGGTATTTTTTGTTTATTTACATAATCCACCTTCAAACAGAGTTCCTACTCTTTATCACTGACAAAATTTCAAAACTTTTCCATGACTTTTTCATGAGCTAAAGTGAATTTTCCATGACTTTACAGCACCTACATGTGTAGAACTGAACAGACTTTTAGGGCTTTTAAATATGAAATGTGAACACTTCCCACTAGGGATGTAACAGTAACTGAAATGTTGGTGCAGAACGTTTCGTCGACATTGTGGGTTCTGTCGGGGAGAAAACTTGCAAACATAAAGCACTTCAGAATCACACATTTATTTAAATTTGGCTGAACTCTGTACTGTACAGGAGGCAGGAGAGTCTCTCAGCCAATCAGGACGCAGCGGGAGGAATGCAATACGTGTTCATACACTGTAAAAAAAAAAAAAGACGTGCGAAATTGCACCAAAAAAATCCACAAAACAGCAACACCGCGAATATAGTGAGACGACTGTAATGAGAGAAAATCAAATTGCTCTGAGGCTTCTTCCATTAGTTGCACTGAGATCAATTGTTTGGGGGCCCCTCCAGGTTTGGGGGCCCTAATCAGCCAATTACTTTTGCCTAATAGTAGCGCCGCCTCTGGTCCTTCTTTACATTACGGTTGAGTTTCTTCTGTTAAATGCAAAAATCACCTGCAGCAGATTATTTATTTATTAGTTTATTGGTTATTTTCATTCATGTTTTGTCTTAACACTTTTATATATTTTTTTTCTATGTTAAAAAACAAAATTAAAACATTCAAACAACATAATCACATGCGATTTATTTCAAAAGCTTCACATTTTTTTAATTGGATCAGATTGTCATTGTCGTTTTTAAAAAATATATATTTTTAAAAAAGCTGCTGTGGATCTAAATGCAGATGTTTTTGGACTGTGATGGTTAAAGATCAGACCACATGACTCTGACGTGTCCAGTGTTGGGGAGTAACAGATTACATGTACCGGAGTTACATAATCAGAGTACAAATTAGTAACTGTATTCAGTTACAGTTACTGTTTCAGTGAGGGGTAATTGGATTACAGTTACTTCGTTGAAATAAATGGATTACACAGAGGGATTTTCCTGTTTTCCTGCTTTCACATTTTGGGCCACTCATTTCCGGAAACTATACCAGGTCTAAACTAGATCTAAACCAGGATTAAAATCAGGTCTAAACCAGGACTAAATCCAGGTCTAAACCAGGACTGAAACCAGGTCTAAACTAGAACCAAACCAGGTCTAAACCAGAACTAAACTTGATCTAAACTAGATCTAAACCAGGTCTAAACCAGTTCCAAACCAGGTCTAAACTAGATCTAATCCAGGTCTAAAACAGGTCTAAAACCAGGTCTAAAACCAGGTCTAAACCAGGACTAAACCGGGACTAACTCGGGACTAAACCAGGTCTAAACCAGGTCTAAACCAGGACTAAACCGGGACTAAATCGGGACTAAACCAGGTCTAAAACAGGATTTAACATCTTTTCATTTTCTTTTATCAGACAAAACTTCTTATGTTACGATTTCCTCATCTTTGCTTCTCTACAACAAATCAAGTAATCCAAAGTAATCAGATTACATTACTCACTTTAAGTAATTTAATGGATTACGTTACAAACTACATTTTGGTGTGTGTAATCTGTAATCTGTAGGGGATTACATTTTAAAAGTAAACTTCTAAACACTGACCACATGACATCACAAGGTGGAACAGAGTGTTTTCTGTTTGAGAAAAGACGTCTCACAGTCGAAATCTGCAGTTTTTGTGTGTTAAACGTGTGTGAATGAATCAAAATGCAAAGACACGTCCAGTGTTGGGAAGGTGACTTTTAAAATGTAATCCCCTACAGATTACAGATTACACACACCAAAATATTTGGTGTGTGTAATATATTTATAAATTATATTATAAATTATAAATGAATTATAAATATTTTGAAGCAGTCCTGTGTTTTGGGTCCTCCCTCTGTTTACATGTACCAGAGGGAACAGTTTGGTGGTGGCAGCGGTGAGAAGCACTCTTCATAAAAGTGTAATTATCTAAGTTCTTTTCAGACTTTGTACTTTTACTTGAGTAATATTTTTGAGAGTGTAACATTCTTACTTGAGTAAAAGTTTTGATCAAATACTTGGTTCACACACACTTCTCTGCACAGCACTTTAGTCGTGATCCAGGTTGAGTCCAGGTTGAGTCCAGGTTGAGTCCCGGTTGAGTCCAGGTTTAGTCCAGGTTGTAGACCCCGTGGCCCTGTCCTCTCCTGGACGGGGCTTCTCTCTCCTGGGCCTTCAGGGCTCGGGTCCTGGACTCTGGGTCTCTGAAGGTCTCCAGAGCCGCTCCCACCTGCAGAGGAGAGCACGGATTAGACCCACGGATCTATGAGGAGAATCTTAGATCATCTAAGAACATAAACTTCAGATTGGAGTTTTATTTTAACACAATCTGACCAGAAAGAGCTGACGTGGTTGAGACTGCAACAGTAAATGTGGAGGGGGAGTGGTACATTTGTGTGTGTGGTACCTTGCTGTATAGGCTGGGTACGGTCTGGGTCTGGGTCTGGGTCTGGGTCTGAGGGAGGTTCTGGGTCTTGCGCAGCAGACTGGTCCTGGTGTCAGCGATGGAACTGCGCTTGACCTGAAAAACACAAGACCAACTTCAGACCAGAGTCCTGGTTTAGTCCTGGTTCAGGCCCGGTTCAGTCCTGGTTCAGTCCTGGTTCAGTCCTGGTTCAGTCCCGGTTCAGTCCCGGTTCAGTCCCGGTTCAGTCCGGTTCAGTCCCGGTTCAGTCCCGGTTCAGTCCCGGTTCAGTCCCGGTTCAGTCCCGGTTTAGTCCCGGTTTAGTCCCGGTTCAGTCCCGGTTCAGTCCCGGTTCAGTCCCGGTTTAGTCCTGGTTCAGTCCCGGTTCAGTCCCGGTTTAGTCCCGGTTCAGTCCCGGTTTAGTCCCGGTTTAGTCCTGGTTCAGTCCCGGTTCAGTCCCGGTTTAGTCCTCGTTCAGTCCTGGTTTAGTCCTGGTTCAGTCCTGGTTCAGTCCTGGTTTAGTCCTGCTTTAGTCCTGGTCTAGTCCTGGTTTAGTCCTGGTTTAGTCCTGGTTCAGTCCTGGTTCAGTCCTGGTTTAGTCCTGGTTCAGTCCTGGTTTAGTCCTGGTTTAGTCCTGGTTTAGTCCTGGTTCAGTCCTGGTTCAGTCCTGGTTTAGTCCTGGTTTAGTCCTGGTTTAGTCCTGGTTCAGTCCTGGTTTAGTCCTGGTCTTGTCCTGGTTCAGTCCTGGTTTAGTCCTGGTTTAGTCCTGGTTCAGTCCTGGTTCAGTCCTGGTTTAGTCCTGGTTTAGTCCTGGTTTAGTCCTGGTTCAGACCTGGTTTAGACCTGGTTTAGACCTGGTTTAGTTCTGGTGTAGTCCTGGTTCAGTCCTGGTTTAGTCCTGGTTTAGTCTTGGTTCAGTCCTGGTTTAGTCCTGGTTTAGTCCTGGTTCAGTCCTGGTTTAGTCCTGGTTTAGTCCTGGTTCAGTCCTGGTTTAGTCCTGGTTTAGTCCTGGTTCAGTCCTGGTTTAGTCTTGGTTCAGTCCTGGTTCAGTCCTGGTTTAGTCCTGGTTTAGTCCTGGTTAGTCCTGGTTTGTTCCTGGTTCAGTCCTGGTTTAGTCCTGGTTCAGTCCTGGTTTAGTCTTGGTTCAGTCCTGGTTCAGTCCTGGTTTAGACCTGGTTTAGTTCTGGTGTAGTCCTGGTCTTGTCCTGGTTCAGTCCTGGTTTAGTCCTGGTTTAGTCCTGGTTCAGTCCTGTTCAGTCCTGGTTTAGTCCTGGTTTAGTCCTGGTTTAGTCCTGGTTCAGACCTGGTTTAGACCTGGTTTAGACCTGGTTAGTTCTGGTGTAGTCTGGTTCAGTCCTGGTTTAGTCCTGGTTTAGTCTTGGTTCAGTCCTGGTTTAGTCCTGGTTTAGTCCTGGTTCAGTCCTGGTTTAGTTTAGTCCTGGTTCAGTCCTGGTTTAGTCCTGGTTTAGTCCTGGTTCAGTCCTGGTTTAGTCCTGGTTTAGTCCTGGTTCAGTCCTGGTTTAGTCCTGTTCAGTCCTGGTTTAGTCGGGTTCAGTCCTGGTTTAGTCCTGGTTTAGTCCTGGTTCAGTCTGGTTCAGTCCTGGTTTAGTCTTGGTTCAGTCCTGGTTCAGTCCTGGTTTAGTCCTGGTTTAGTCCTGGTTTTAGTCCTGGTTCAGTCCTGGTTCAGTCCTGGTTTAGTCCTGGTTTAGTCCTGGTTTAGTCCTGGTTTAGTCCTGGTTTAGTCCTGGTTTAGTCCTGGTTCAGTCCTGGTTTAGTCCTGGTTCAGACCCGTGCGGCGCTCAGTCTGTGGTTCTCGGTCTCGTTCCTCTTCAGTTGTTCTCTGATCCAGCGTTGGCCGTAGTCGTGGGCGAGCAGCAGGTGCACGGGCGAGTCCGATCTGACACAAAACAAACTCAAAGTTTAAACCTAAAACTCCCCAAAACCTGCCCCAGTCCTGAGTCGGTGCTAGTGCAGCGTCTGCAGCTCAGGGAGGAGCTGTGGAGGATCTGAGCTTCACATGAGGCCTGTCCGTCAAATGGAAAAATAAGTCATAAAATATAAAATCAGCTTTATACAAGATGTCATCGGACGTTGTAGGGAGTATTATCTGTTACATAAGGGCGAGCACTAAAACAGGACTGAACCAGGACTAAACCAAGATTAAACCAGGACTGCAACAGGTCTGAAACAGGTCTGAAACAGGTCTGAAACAGGTCTAAAACAGGACTAAATCAAGACTAAACCAGTGTCTGGACGGGTCTGGAGGTGGACCCGTGTAGACCGTCGGGTGACAGCAGGAGAAAGGACCGGTACAGAGCTCCGCCCCCAAGTGCCCGAACGCACTTTGCGGACACTTCCTCTCTCTCAAGTCCAATATTAGTCCTGGGTTAGACCTGTTTTAGTCCTGGTCTAGTCCTGGTTTAGTCTTGGTTCAGTCCTGGTTTAGACCTGGTTTAGTCCTGGTGTAGTCCTGGTGTAGTCCTGGTTTAGTCCTGGTTTAGACCTGGTTTAGACCTGGTTCAGTCCTGGTTTAGTTCTGGTTCAGTCCTGGTGTTGTCCTGGTTTAGTCCTGGTGTAGTCCTGGTTTAGTCCTGGTTTAGTTCTGGTTCAGTCCTGGTTTAGTCCTGGTGTAGTCCTGGTGTAGTCCTGGTTTAGACCTGGTTTAGTCCTGGTGTAGTCCTGGTTTAGTCCTGGTTTAGACCTGGTTCAGTCCTGGTTTAGTTCTGGTTCAGTCCTGGTTTAGTGCTGTTTAGTCCTGGTTTAGTTCTGGTTCAGTCCTGGTTTAGACCTGGTTTAGACCTGGTTCACTCCTGGTTTAGTTCTGGTTCAGTCCTGGTGTAGTCCTGGTTTAGACCTGGTTTAGACCTGGTTTAGTTCTGGTTCAGTCTTGGTGTAGTCCTGGTTTAGACCTGGTTCAGACCTGGTTTAGACCTGGTTTAGACCTGGTGTAGTCCTGGTTTAGACCTGGTTTAGACCTGGTTTAGACCTGGTTTAGTTCTGGTTCAGTCCTGGTGTAGTCCTGGTTTAGACCTGGTTTAGTTCTGGTTCAGTCCTGGTGTAGTCCTGGTTTAGTCCTGGTTTAGACCTGGTTTAGACCTGGTTTAGTCCTGGTGTAGTCCTGGTGTAGTCCTGGTTCAGTCCTGGTTCACTCCTGGTTTAGTCCTGGTTTAATCCTGGTTCAGTCCTGGTTTAGTCCTGGTTTAGACCTGGTTTAGTCCTGGTTCATGAATCATGTATCTCATTTAAAAATCCCTTCTACTCTGCAGACGGACGCGTCTTAAATGCAGATATTTGTTGTAATACAGTAAATTCTTGGGTCTAGTCAATAATATTTTACTTTTTTCTGGATTTGTGTTTTGGAGATTTGGTGTCAGTGAACAATATAATTCATCTGGAAATATGTCAGAGCAACAAGCAACAACTCCTGAACACGACCATGAACACTCGCTCTGACCACAGCTCCTGAAAATGTGCTCTTTAAATCCATTTTGTATCTTTCAGACGATCTTAAAACGTTTTTGTCAGTGTTTGGAAATGTGTGGATGGTGTGACTAAACGTAGAAACATTCTGCCATAAACATCCAGGCAGAACACCCCCAGCGTGATAACATACTTTCATAATAAATAATAACAGTAAATATTTTGCGTCTCACCTGCTCGTGACGCCAAAGGTGATGTCCGGCACCGAGCCCCGCCTCCCCTGGCCCGGGATTGGCTGGCTCCTGTGGTGCTGCGCCGTGATTGGCTGGACCCGGGGCGGTCTCTGGACCCGGGGCGGTCTCTGGGCCCGGTACTGGCTCAGCTCTTTGGCCGTGATGAGTCCGGACCTGACAGCGTTTCGGTTCAGAGCCACAAAGTCGACCGGGGGCAGGGCGGAGGCGGAGTGTCCCCGACGAGACGCCGCCCTCCAGCCGGACAACACTGAGACACATCACTCCAGTAAAAGTATCCGTAACACTACTACTCGAGTACAAGTAACTGCTGAACCACTAAATATTACATCAGTCACAAAATCTGAAGTTTACGAGTCCTGGATTTGTCATAGTCCTGGCTTAGTCCTGGTTTAGACCTGATTCAGTCCTGGTTTAGTTCTGTTTTAGTCCTGGTTCAGTCCTGTTTTAGTCCCGGTTCAGTCCCGGTTCAGTCCTGGTTCAGTCCTGGTTTAGTCCTAGTTTAGTCCTGGTTTAGTCCAGATCTAGTCCTGGTTTACTCCTGGTTCAGTCCTGGTTTAGTCCTAGTTTAGTCCTGGTTTAGTCCTGGTTCAGTCCTGTTTTAGTCCTGTTTTAGTCTTGGTTTGGTCCTGGTTTGGTCCTGGTTTAGTCCTGGTTTAGTCCTGGTTTGGTCCTGGTTTAAATCTGGTTTAGTCCTGGTTTAGTCCTGGTTTGGTCCTGGTTTAGTCCTGGTTTAGTCCTGGTTTGGTCCTGGTTTGGTCCTGGTTTAGTCCTGATCTAGTCCTGGTTTAGTCCTGGTTTGGTCCTGGTTTAGTCCTGGTTTGGTCCTGGTTTGGTCCTGGTTTAGTCCTGATCTAGTCCTGGTTTAGACCTGGTTTGGTCCTGGTTCAGTCCTGGTTTAGTCCTGATTCAGTCCTGGTTTAGTTCTGTTTTAGTCCTGGTTCAGTCCTGTTTTAGTCCCGGTTCAGTCCTGGTTCAGTCCTGGTTTAGTCCTGGTTTAGTCCTGGTTTGGTCCTGGTTTGGTCCTGGTTTATTCCTGATCTAGTCCTGGTTTAGTCCTGGTTTGGTCCTGGTTTAGTCCTGGTTTAGTCCTGGTTTGGTCCTGGTTTGTTCCTGGTTTAGTCCTGATCTAGTCCTGGTTTAGTCCTGGTTTGGTCCTGGTTTAGTCCTGGTTTGGTCCTGGTTTAGTCCTGATCTAGTCCTGGTTTAGTCCTGGTTTGGTCCTGGTTTAGTCCTGGTTTTGTCCTGGTTTAGTCCTGGTTCAGTCCTGGTTCAGTCCTGGTTTTGTCATGGTTTAGTCCTGGTTTAGTCCTGGTTTTGTCCTGGTTTAGTCCTGGTTTAGTCCTGGTTTTGTCCTGGTTTTGTCCTGGTTTAGTCCTGGTTTTGTCCTGGTTTAGTCCTGGTTTAGTCCTGGTTTATTCCTGGTTTTGTCCTGGTTTAGTCCTGGTTTTGTCCTGGTTTTGTCCTGGTTCAGTCCTGGGTTTGTCCTGGTTTAGTCCTGGTTCAGTCCTGGTTTAGTCCTGGTTCAGTCCTGGTTTAGTCCTGGTTTGGTCCTGGTTTGTTCCTGGTTTAGTCCTGATCTAGTCCTGGTTTAGTCCTGGTTTGGTCCTGGTTTAGTCCTGGTTTGGTCCTGGTTTAGTCCTCATCTAGTCCTGGTTTAGTCCTGGTTTAGTCCTGGTTCAGTCCTGGTTTTGTCCTGGTTTTGTCCTGGTTTAGTCCTGGTTTAGTCCTGGTTTAGTCCTGGTTTAGTCCTGGTTCAGTCCTGGTTTTGTCCTGGTTTTGTCCTGGTTTAGTCCTGGTTTAGTCCTGGTTTAGTCCTGGTTTAGTCCTGGTCTTACCCTGGGCCACTCCTCCCTGGTCTTCGCTGCTCGTGACTCCGAAGGTGAAGTTTGGTCCTGGGATGGAGAAACCTCGACACGTGGACTTTCCTAAAGGAGCCTGTCGCCCAGGCAACCAGGAGACAAGGAGACAAGTAGATAAGGAGACGAGGAGGCGAGGAGACGAGGAAGTGAGCAGGGGAGGCGACAAGGAGGGGAGGAGGCGAGGAAGTGAGGAGACAAGGAGGCGAGGAGGCGAGGAAGTGAGGAGACAAGGAGGGAAGGAGGTGAGGAGGAGAGGAGGCAAGGAGAAGAAGATGCGAGGAGGGGAGGAGACAAGCAGACGAGGAGGAATAAAGGCAAGGATGGAAGGAGGCAAGGAGGGGACGGGACAAGGAGGAGAGGAGACAAGGAGCTAAGTGTCCCGATGGTTCGTCTGTGGCGTCGGTGACGTTGTGGGCGGAGTCTCACCTTGATGATGCGAGGGTTGATCTGCATGGAGTCTCTGAACACGCCCACGCGAGGAGACGACGCCATGACAACGGGGCTGATGGGAACTGTAGGCAGAGAGACGGGGCTGATGGGAACTGTAGGCGGAGCAGGAGAGTCACATCTCTGCAAACTCTGGTTTTATGTGTAACTTTTTACTTTTACTTGAGTACAGTTTTAGTCATGTAACTTTTACTTGAGTGTAAATGTGCAGACCTGTTTTATATTTTTTGATATTGTTGATATGATATGATATTTTTTTAGGGACTTTACTACAAATTAATTAAAGGAATACAAAGGTTTACAGAACCAATGTGAGACTGAGGCCACAACTCCTCATGGGACCAAATTAAAGGTGCACTGTAGTCAAGACCTCACTAATCCAGACCAAGACCTGTCCAAGACCACAGGGTCCCAAGACCAGAACAAGACCGAGACCCCTGAGAACCGAGACCTAGACAAGACCAAGACCTCTCAAGTTCAAGACCGAGGCAAGACCAAGACTTTTAAAGGTCGAGACCTAGACAAGACCAAGACCACTGAGGGTCAAAACCGAGACAAGATCGAGACTTAGACAAGACTAAGACCTCTGAGGGTCGAGATCCAGACATGATCGAGACTTAGACAAGACTGAGACCTCTGAGGGTCGAGATCCAGACATGATCGAGACTTAGACAAGACTGAGACCTCTGAGGGCTGAGATCCAGACATGATCGAGACTTAGACAAGACTGAGACCTCTGAGGGTCGAGATCCAGACATGATCGAGACTTAGACAAGACTGAGACCTCTGAGGGCCGAGATCCAGACATGATCGAGACTTAGACAAGACCGAGACCTCTGAGGTTTGAGATCAAGACAAGACTGAGATCTCTGAAAGTAGAGACCGAGACAAGACCAAGACTTTTAAAGGTCTAGACCAAGACAAGACCAAGACCTCTGAGGGTAGAGACTGAGACAAGACCAAGATCTCTGAGGGTTGAGTCCAAAATAAGATCGAGACCTATACAAGACTGAGAACTCTGAGGTTTGAGATCAAAAAAGACCAAGACCTCTGAGGTTTGAGACCGAGACAAGACCAAAACCTCTGAGGGTAGAGACCAAGACAAGACCGGATCAAAACCGGTCTTGGATACGACATTTGCACTACGTAACTTTTCTGGTTGGGGATCAATCACCTACTTGTTTCTATGGATATTTAATTTCTCTGTCTGGAATGTTCCACAGTGTGACTTTAAACAGCTCTACTTTAGATTCATTCAATTTCAGGAGGTTTTACTTCTCAAAAACACCTAGAAAAACATGAAAGCAGGCATTCTGACTGTGAGCGGGGTCGCCTCTCCACAGATCTGACCTATCACTTGGTCTGGTTTGGTCTCCGTGAAGATAGTTTTAATGCCACACTGTGAAAACATTCCAGACAAAACAGTAACATTTCCATGGAGAAAAGCGTTTGACGGACGCTCCAAGAGAAAAGTTACACATTAATATACGAAAAAAATAAAACATAATAAAATAGATAAATACATAAAAAATATAGTAAATAAATTAGTCATTGTCATTTATAAATTCTAGCTATAACAGACTTTAGACAGAAATTGTAGTTTTTATTGCAACGGTTACAAACCTTTGCTGTTCTAGATCCACACTTGATACTCAGTTAAGATAACATATTAACTTACGTATTTACGTTTTGTTTGTTTTGTGCATTGAAAATTGTCATTCGTTTCCACCTCTAATGTCGTAATAATAATAACAGTGGTATTTTCGTTATTTCTACCTCTTGAGAAACATTTAAGCTTTTTATACTCACTTTTCTCAAAAACACAACGCTTTTCTCGGCTGTTTCGGCTCCGCTGTTGCTATGGAAACCGAACGCCGTTCCGCACGACTTACGCACGACGTCGCTTCCGTGGCGAGATCGCAGGATTTTATTTACTTTTATTTGTTTTGGCGTATTTTTACTCATTTAATTTGTCTCTATTCCACCTGCATCCGTCAATTCACTTTGTTTTGAAATTAAAGCTGATTTATTTTATTGTTTAAAACGAATAGAGTCGGGGGACGGCGGAAAAACACGAAGCTAACTACGTCACCTCAAACGTCATCTCCGTAGTTTTCGAAGATCGAGTTCGGAACAGACCCAGAGGAAATGATCAAATCTAAAACCAAAAAGATCGAATATAATTTAAAGAAATCCATATTTGTGTTACTGTACGTGTAAGATTTTAATATGTATAAGTTCTTCGCAGCGTAACACGACGTAAAAGACACGATATTGCTACTTTTATTGTCCAGCGGAGTGATCGCTCTGTCTTCCGCCTAGCCGCGTCCTCTCCGCCGGAGCCGCACCGGAGCCGTAGCGGAGCCCCGGAGCTCACTGCCCCCCGAAGCCGCCGTGTGTTCGCCCGTCCGCGGATGGCAGCTGCGCTAGTGATGCCGCGGTGGTTGTTGTGGCTGCAGTCAGCGGTGCTCCTCGTCCTCGTGACCGGCCGTGAGTGCGCTGCCGCCCGCCTGTACACGGAGCAGGACCCGCTGGTGATCCTGAGCAGGGACACGCTCCGGGCCACGCTCACCGACTCCCGCAGCGCCTGGTTGGTCCAGTTTTACTCCTCCTGGTGCGGACACTGCGTCCAGTACTCCGGCACATGGAAAGCACTGGCCCGGGATGTGAGAGGTAAGGCTGGGGTTTTCTCAAATGCAGGAAAAACACATCAAAATAAGACCAAACCCATCCCATATGCTACTACAGTGCACCAAAACACTGCACTGATTGCTTCATTTTACTTTTATTTCACTTTAATGGTTTCTTTTGATATATTATAACAGAAAAACTCTTTCCACACACTTTACAATTCTAAAATCACATCAAAATTAGACCAAACCCATCCCATATGCTACTAAAAGCACCAAAACACTGCACTGATTGCTTCATTTTACTTTTATTTCACTTTAATGGTTTCTTTTGATATATTATAACAGAAAAACTCTTTCCACACACTTTACAATTCTAAAATCACATCAAAATTAGACCAAACCCATCCCATATGCTACTACAGTGCACCAAAACAGTGCACTGATTGGGAATTTTTCTTTTATTTCAGTACATTGGTTTATTTTAGTGTGTTATAGCAGAAAAGTGCTTAACATACACTTAAAAACCCTAAAATCAAATCCAAATAGGCCAAAACCATCCCATATGCTACTGCCATGCAAAACACTGCACACTGATTGCTTCATTTTACTTTTATTTCACTTTATTGGTTTCTTTTAATATATTATAACAGAAAAAGTCTTTCCACACACTTTACAATCCTAAAATCACATCAAAATGAGACCAAACCCATCCCATATGCTCCTACGGTGCACCAAAACAGTGCACCGATTGCTTAATTTCACTTTTATTTCACTTTATTGGTTTCTTTTAATATATTATAACAGAAAAACTCTTTCCACACACTTTACAATCCTAAAATTAGACCAAATCCATCCCATATGTTACCAAAATGCTCCAAAACCATTGCACTGATTTCTTAATTTTACTTTTATTTCAGTACATTGGTTTATTTTATTGTGTTATAGCAGAAAAGTGCGTAACATACACTTAAAAACCCTAAAATCAAATCAAAATTAGGCCAAATCCATCCCATATGCTACTACTAAGCATCAAAACCAGTGTACTGATTTCTTAATTTTACATTTATTTCAGTATATTGACTTATTTTATTATAGTATAGCAGGAATAATGTTTACCATACACTTTACAATCCTAAAATTATATCAAAACAGTGCACTGATTGCTTAATTTTACTTTTATTTCAGTACATTGACTTATTTTAATATGTTATAGCAGAAAAATAATTTATCACACACTTTATAATCCTAAAATTAGACCAAATCCATCCCATATGTCACTAAAATTCACCAAAACCAGTGCACTGATTCATAATTTTATTTTTAATTTCAGTACATTGCTTTATTGTATTATGTTACAGCAGAAAAAACATTTATAACTCATTTTACAATCCTAAAATTTGACCAAATCCATCCCATATATTACTAAAATACACAAAAACTGGTGTACTGATTTCTTAATTTAATTTTTACTTCAGTACATTGGTTTATTTTGTTATGTTACAGCAGAAAAAAACACTTACGACACACTTTACAATCCTAAAATTAGACCAAACCCATCCCATATGCTGTTACTGTGCACCAAACCAGTACACCGATTTCTTCATTTAATTATTATGTGACTGCGCTGGTTTTTCGTATTATATTTAACCAGAAATGTGACTCATTAATGTTCCAAACTCATTTCTCGGAAGCAACCTGTTTATTAGAGCCCAACCCTCTTAAATATTTCTGGTAATGGTAATTAATGGTTATTAGTCCAGACACAAATAACACTTAGACAGATTTTATTGATCCACAAATGAAATGACTCAGACTTAGTCGGTCACACAGTGTTGGGAAGGTGACTTTTAAAATGTATTCCCCTACAGATTACAGATTACACACACCAGAATGTAGTTTGTAACAGAATCCATTAAATTACTTAAAGTTAGTAATGTAATCTGAATACTTTGGATTACTTGATTTGCCTTATTAAAAATATTATTGAGAGAAGAAGAGGAGACGCGTCCACGCAGCACGGTTTAGTCCTGTTAAATCCTGTTTTAGTTCTGGTTTAGACCTGGTTTTAGACCTGGTTTAGATCTGGTTTAGACCTGGTTTAGATCTGGTTTAGACCTGGTTTAGATCTGGTTTAGACCTGGTTTAGACCTGGTTAGATCTGGTTTAGATCTAGTTTAGACCTGGTTTTAGTCCTGGTTTTAGTCCTGGTTTTAGTCCTGGTTTAGATCTGGTTTTAGTCCTGTTTTAGACCTGGTTTTAGACCTGGTTTTGATATGGTTTTAGTCCTGTTTTAGACCTGGTTTTAGACCTGGTTTTGATATGGTTTTAGTCCTGTTTTAGACCTGGTTTTAGACCTGGTTTTGATATGGTTTTAGTCCTGTTTTAGACCTGGTTTTAGACCTGGTTTTGATATGGTTTTAGTCCTGGTTTAGTCCTGGTTTAGACCTGGTTTTAGACCTGGTTTTAGACCTGTTTTAGAACTGGTCTAGCTCTAGTTTAGACCTGGTTCCGGTAATGAGTGAAATTACTGAAAAAAAACAAAAAAAAAAACAAAAAAACAAATGAGGATACAGCCCAAAATGTGAAAACAGGAAAATCCCGCTGTGTAATCCATTTATTTCAACAAAGTAACTGTAATCTAATTACCACTCACTGAAACAGTAACTGTAACTGAATACAGTTACTCACAATTTGTACTCTGATTACTTAACATACTGTACTTACGTACATGTAATCTGTTACTCCCCAACACTGGTCACACATCACATTATATTACAATAACACAGAGTAAAAAAATCCCGTGTGAACGAGTCTAATCTTTTCCTAGATCCAAATTACAATACAAATTACAAGTTACAAAAGGCTGTGTAACATTATCCAAACAGTCTGTGCTTCTGTAAAGTGATTCTGCACCACTGAATCATAACCGGGCCAACAACAGGGATATAATAACCTTAAATATTTAGGAGGATCGAGTTTATGTTAAAAATCAGAAATATGACACAAACCAAAACTCAGACTTTAACCTGTTCATGCGTAAACCCAACGGAGCGACCCCGTTTTACTGCTGTGTACTTCATTGATAATTTAGTGATTTTTTTCCGTTTTTTCATAAGTTTGATCCAAAGTAGAAATAAAAACAGGCAGAGATGAGTGGATTTATTGTATGTGGTGTGTATCTTTAATTCGTCTTTTTCAGTTTATCCATAAGTTTAAAATATACGATGTTTTATTCGAGTAATGTTATTGATATGATATTTCCGACTTTCCTAACCGCTGTTACTGTTTATGTCGCTTTTTACGCACGTATGTCGCTGTTAATGATTTACGCCACAGAGAACATGTGATTCCTCGTATCGGCGGTGTTGTTTATCAGCAGACGATGTGGTAAAAGGTTGTAACATGTGAGTAAAATTTCAAAACAAAGGGCCTAGCATCTGTTAGCCGCTTTGAGCTAATGCTAACTGATAGCCCGGGTCTCTAGGCAACAAGAGCCGCTGTCACGTGACCGAGCGATTTAAAACGTTTTATTTTATTTAACTCTTTTTTTTTTTTTTTTTTTAAGTATATAGTATTAATTTTGATGTAATTTGTGTGTAAATTGTGTATTATGTTGCTGTTTTGTCAACTGTCTCAGGAAAATAATTATATTTAAAAAAAAACAACAACTATGTGGAGCTGGTTCGTTTAGTTTTGGTCAGTGGTGCAAGTGACAATAAATACTGTATACTTTTACTTCACTACATTTAAGAGCAGGTGTACTTTCTATGTCACTATAAAAAAAATAAAAATAAATAAATAATATTAATAATAATAATAATAATACAATAGTATAATATAGAAACTCAGGCCCGCGATATAATTATATTTGGCCCTCGAGATCATTTCAAATATATATTAGAGCTGGCCCGCATTATTTATTTAAAATTTTGTTATTATTTTATATTCTGCATGTTCTGGATTCAATGTTTAAGCAAAACTTATATTAAACATTCATTTTAATAAGAAAAGTTTAACATTACATATCTCGAAAGAAGAGAAAACATGCGGAATTTTTCAGTGAATATTTAGTTTGGCCCACGACTTTTTAATTCTGTCCCTCTGTAAATTTGAGTTTGATGCCCCCGGTATTATACATTCAATACCAATTTGTATTCAGTGGCAAAAGAAAAGTTTTTAAAGTTATTATTTACTTACTACATTTTAAATGTTATTATTTACTTCTTTCGCTGATTACATTACGAAGTTTCCAGCCAGAAATGACATAATAATAATAATAATGTAATCAGCGAAATAAGTAAATAATAATGCGAGTAAATAAAATATTAAGGGCAACAACAGCACAAATGAAGCACAAACCACTGACCATCGGGGGCCAACTTCACACAGGTTTGGGTCGGGGCAGGTCAGAGCAGGTGTTGGGGTCGAGAGGTCACTCTTCCGGGGTCAGGGGTGGATGGATGGATGGATGGATGGGTGGAGGGGTGGAGGGGTGGAGGGGTGGAGGGAGAGTGGGAGTCCAGCAGCAGGTGGTGGAGAGAGTTTTCTGGCAGATGGTCCCTGGGTCTATTCTCTGGAACTGAATATTAAACAAAAACTACAAAAGTTTAGTCCTGGTTTAGTCCTGGTTTAGTCCTGGTTTAGAACTGGTTTAGAACTGGTTTAGAACTGGTTTAGGCCTGGTTTTAGGCCTGGTTTAGACCTGGTTTTAGACTTGGTTTAGACCTGGTTTAGTCCTGGTTTAGGCCTGGTTTAGACCTGGTTTAGACCTGGTTTAGTTCTGGTTTCAGTCCTGGTTTAGACCTGGTTTTAGACCTGGTTTTAGACCTGGTTTTAGACCTGGTTTTAGACCTGGTTTAGTCCTGGTTTAGTCCTGGTTTAGTCCTGGTTTAGTCCTGGTTTAGTCCTGGTTTAGTCCTGGTTGAGCAGCAGGTGGTGGAGAGAGTTTTCTGGCAGATGGTCTCTGTGTCTATTCTCTGGAACTGAATATTAAACAAAAACTACAAAAGTTTAGTCCTGGTTTAGTCCTGGTTTAGAACTGGTTTAGAACTGGTTTAGGCCTGGTTTTAGGCCTGGTTTAGACCTGGTTTTAGACTTGGTTTAGTCCTGGTTTAGTCCTGGTTTAGACCTGGTTTTAGACCTGGTTTAGACCTGGTTTAGACCTGGTTTTAGACCTGGTTTTAGACCTGGTTTAGTCCTGGTTTAGTCCTGGTTTAGTCCTGGTTTGGTCCTGGTTGAGCAGCAGGTGGTGGAGAGAGTTTTCTGGCAGATGGTCTCTGTGTCATTTCGCTGAACTGAATATTAAACAAAAACTACAAAAGAGCAACAACAAAGAGTCTAGACGGCGCATCGGGATTAGGACCAAACTTGGACTAAATAAGGTCTAAAAAAGGACAGCACCGCTCACATTGTAGTGGTGTCATGATACATTTTCTATTTCATTTCTAAGGAAATGATTTGATATTGAATTCTGATACCGCCGTGATAATAGTGAAGCACTTTTTAGATGATAGAATGTAATTTTCAACAAATTACTATCTGGTCTTACACTAGTTTTGATAAAGAAACTCCAAGACAGATTGTCCTGTTAAAGTATTATTATTAGTATATAATTAAGATTATTTACGAGTCGTTTTGATTCTAGTTTTGGCATCAATTATCTGTTTTTCATAACTTCTGACAACTTTACAACATTCTATAGGCCAATATTTTAATCCAGATGGAGGGCAGCTAAATGAATATTGTTAAAATGAAGATTTTGGTGTCACGCAGTGAGGACCACGACTAAAACCAGGTTTAAACCAGGTCTAAAACCAGGACTAAACTAGATCTAAACCAGGTTTAAACCAAGTATAAACCAGGTCTAAAACCAGGTCGAAACCAGGTCTAAACAAAGACTAAAACCAAGTCTAAAACCAGGACTAAACCAGGACTAAACCAGGACTAAACCAGGTATAAACCAGTTCTTGGGTCAAATCACTAATTTAATAAAAAATATCAGGTTCAATGTGGAATTAACAGGAAAATGTACAAATGTTGAAGTTGATAATTTCTATTAGAACATTTAATCACGAGTTGAAGCCAAATTAGAGATAAACCCGAATCTGAAAAGCTGAAGTCAAAATAGACTAAACCAAACTAACACGAGTGAGAAATGAACTGTGCAGCACTAAACCAGAGCAAAACCTTTTCAAAACAGAATATGTTGGAAATAGTCCAGGGGAAAGTTTAGTCATGTTTAGTCCGGCCCTCGTCTGGTCTAAATCTGGTCTCGTCTTATCAGTGTGAGTCGTATCATCTCTGTCATGAGAACATTCCATCTGTCCCTGTGATGCCACCACATTGCCAGTGAGGTAAAGATGAAAATATTGGAAAAAAGTGAAAAAAAAAAAAAAAAAACGCCTTATTTTTTTTTACATTAAATTGAGCCAAAATCATGTAGAAATGTGTTTCAGGAATGATTTTTTCACTGAATGTTCTCAGCATGTGTTCTTTGCATCTGGAATGTACTTATTGACAGTTTACCCAACCCAGTGAGGACTTCAGGAAATTTTAATTTTTCAAAATTTTCTATCAAAAAATGAAGGTTACATACACTAAAATGGCCACAGTTTTTTTTTCTGCAATATTTCAGGAAGAGCAGACCCTTCAATTATTGGTCCTTAGGGTCACAGTTAACCATATAAACACAAACAAAAAGTATGGCAGACGATGTCAGGTTCAACCCAGTTTATTGAGCTTTTGAGACTTTGGCTCCCCGACTAAAAGAGTATCATAGTTCTAGGATTCTCCTCCTTATTACTAAAGTTTTTGTACTGGTCGTTGGCTTTTCAGGGTCACAGAGATAATAAAAATAAAACTGTAATATGTTCATTTTTGCTTGATTTTCAAAGGGTCCATATTACTCTGTTTTCTGATCTGTGTCATTATGTTGTTTCCTCATTTCAAACAGACCTGGGTGAAAACAAAAAGGAAGTATTGTGTTACCTCTTGTGTGTGTGTGTGTTTCAGACTGGCAGGGGGCCATCAGTGTGGCCGTGTTCGATTGTGCTCTGGAAGAAAACTTTGACCTGTGCAGAGAATATGGGATCAAATACTACCCCACGTTCAAGGTAAATGTCCAAAACTCCACTGAACACGGGTCAGAAACATGCTTATGACAGTTTCATTTGAGCTCACTGTTGTAGAAGTCGACACACTGTGGTCGTGTCGTCCATTCAGTCTGGTGCTTCTGTTGTAGGGAGTATTATAGCTCTGGTGACCCTTCATGTGCTCTGTGTTGTCATTTATTTTGGTCCAAAAAAGAAACAGTTGTCTTGGCGTCCTCCTCAGATGCAGCAGAAAACTGCTCCACAGGCACGTACAGCTCAAATATTCTAACAAAGGTGGATTTTATCTTTCAGTCACTTTTATTTTACGTCCATCGACCCAGAAATGACAAAGATATAAACTTTTAAATACTTTAGAATCACTTTTGGCGTCACATCAGCTTTAATCAAATGTGCTCGTATACACATCTGCAACGCAGCTCACGATATACACAAGTTTTTACTCAGATTCTAGGAGGTTCACACGCTTCCGAAAAGGAAATTTTAGCTCCCAGCTTTTTATAGTTTTAGGACTGACCTGTACAGCACCATGTCATTTCGATCTCTATATAATTTTCTGATATATTTTTTACTATTTCATAGATCGTGTGCGTGTATTTCGAATTTGTGTGTCATTCGTTCATTTGTTTTTCAATATAAAACCAAAAATAAGAAAACAAAAAAACAACGGTTTTCTTCATTATTTGTCTCCAAAACCAAAATAAAAAAACAGATAACGATTTGTTTTTTCAGTTTTCGATTTTGTGTTTAAATGAAAAATGGAAAAAATGGATAACGGCCGTTTCCCGTTTACGTGACTTCAGTGACTGAGATGTTGGATTTTGCACCACGTACGAACTGAGCCAAGACTGAACCAGGTCCAGGACCAGAGCGAACTCCGAACTTTGACTCCGAGCCTCTGCGGGGTCTGAGCGTCCGGTCTAGTCCCGGTCTGGTCTCGGTTTCGGTCTGGTCCCAGTATGGTCCCGGTCTGGTCTCGGTTTCGGTCTGGTCCCAGTTTCGATCTGGTCCACGGTCTGGTCTCGGTCTGGTCTCTGTTTCAGTCTGATCCCAGTATGGTCTCGGTCTGGTCTCTGTTTCAGTCTGGTCCCGGTCTGGTCTTTGTTTCGGTCTAATCCCGGTCTCAGTCCCGGTCTCAGTCCCGGTCTCAGTCCCGGTCTCGGTCCCGGTCTGGTCCCGGTCTGGTCCCGGTCTGGTCCCGGTCTGGTACCGGACCTGGACCAGTCCTGGCTCAGTTCGTATGCGTTGCAAAAGTCCGACATCACAGTCACAGAAGTCACGTAAACGGTTCAGTCCTGGTTTAGTCCTGGTTCAGTCCTGGTTTAGTCCTGGTTCAGTCCATTATCAGTTTTTTCCATTTTTCATTTAAACACAAAATCGAAAACTGAACAAACGAATCATTATCTGTTTTTTTCATTTTGGTTTTGGAGACAAATAATGAAGAAAATAGTTGTTTTTTAATTTTCTTATTTTTAGTTTTACATTGAAAAAGGAATGACACACGGATTATTTCGCAGGGACACCGTTTGACTTTTCCTTTGGTATAAATGACTTATTTTGTTGTATTTTCAGTATTTCAAGGCCCACAGTGGAGAGGCCGAGCGAGGGACCATCTACAGAGGTGAGAAACGACAAACGATGACAAATGACGACAAATGACTGCGCTTAAAACTCAACACAGACTTTCCCTGCACAACAGACAAACATTTGAGATCAGGTTTTGTTTGGGAGTGTCCAGGCAGTTCTGTTTCTCTGTGAGGTTTTCATGTTTCCTCCATTAACCCCAAACGTGCTCCGTGTGGAAACGCTTCAAATCGCGCGACCCTCATGGTTCACGCGTGTCTCTGTCCTGCAGGGGGCGACAGGGAGATCCCCTCGGTCAGGCGGCTCATGGTGAACATCCTGCAGAACCACACCAGAGACGAGAGGCCGGAGCAGTGCCCAGAGCTGCGGCCCTACAGGTACCAGACCGGTCTGAACTGGGTCAAAAGTGGGTCTTAAACAGGGTCTAAACTGGGCCTAAAATGGGTCTATACTTGGGTCTAAACAGGTTCTATAATGGGTCTAAAGTGGGTCTAAACAAGATCTGTAGTGGGTCTGAACTGGGGCTATACTGGGTGTATAATAGTGGGTCTATGCAGGGTTTAGAGTGAGTCAAAAGTGGGTCTAAACAAGATCTATTCTGGGTCTAAACAGCATCTAAAAGGGGTCTGTACTAGGTCTACATTGGGTCTAAACATGGTCAAAAGTGGGCTTAAACTGGATCTAAAATGGATCTGTACAGGGTCTAGACTGGGTCAAAACAGGGTCAAAAGTGGGTCTTAAACAGGGTCTATACTGGGTCTAGATTGGGTCTAAACTTGGGTCAAAACAGGGTCAAAAGTGGGTCTTAAACAGGGTCTATACTGGGTCTAGATTGGGTCTAAACTTGGGTCTAAACAGGGTCTATAGTGGGTCTAAACAAGATCTGTAGTGGGTCCAAACTGGGTCTTTACTGGATCTAAACAGGGTTTAAACTGGGTCTAAAATGGGTCTAAAAGAGGTCTGAACTGGGTGTATAATAGTGGGTCTATGTTGGGTTTAGAGTGGGTCTAAAGTGGGTCTAAACAAGATCTGTAGTGGGTCTGAACTGGGGCTATACTGGATCTAAACAGGGTGTAAAAGGGGTCTGTGCTAGGTCTAGAATGGGTCTAAACTGGGTCAAAACGGGTTTCTAAACAGGGTCTGTAGTGGGTCAAAAGTGGGTCTAAACAAGATCTATTCTGGGTGTAAACAGGATCTAAACAGAATCAAAGGTGGGTCTATACTGGGTCTAAACAGGGTCTAAAATAGATTTATACTGAGTCTAGATTGGGTCTAAAAAGGGTCAAAAGTGGGTCTAAACTGGATCTAAACAGGGTCTATACTGGGTCTAAAGTGAGTCTAAAGTGGGTCTAGATTGGGTCTAAACCGGGTCTATAGTGGGGCTAAACCTGGATCAGAAAATGGCGATAAATGTGCCCTTTACTAAGAATATTTCATACATTTTTTCTTTTTCGTTATAAAGAGAAGGATCTGAACAGGTTTTTGGGTGAAGTTCATTCTTGGACTTAAACATGTTTTTGAATTTTCCTCTTCGTTGTTGTTGTTGTTGTAGTTCTGTGGAGCTGCTGCCGTTATTGGGACAGAAGTCTGACCACTACACTGCCGTCATCATAGAAGAGCCCCAGTCCTACACCGGCCGAGAAGTGAGTCCTGCTTTAGTCCTGGGGCCTCATTTATAAATCTTGCTTACGCAAAAATCCGTGCGTGCGCGCTTCCTACGCCAACCGCGGTATTTATAAAACTCGCCTAAGGCGTGGCTCTTTGCTTAACTCTACGCCAGCTCGGGAACCTCCTGTAAGTTCTACACAAAGTCTGGAGACACGGGGAAAAAGCGACACTCGTGGAGAGAAGCAGAAGTGAACAGAGTTTGAGGAAGTGTTTGATCAGAAAATCCACGTATATAGAAGAATGACCTTCAGATTTGCGCATTTAAGTGTTTGGTTCATAAAATACGGAGAAGGGCTGTTTATTCCACTCATTATTCTCCACAATATTATACATTTGACACTCGTGCACGAGCGCGGCCACGTTCCCGGACTCGGTGCAGCGCAGAGTCCCACAGTCCACACCGCGACCATAGACTTCTATAGAACACAGACTGACCAACACAGAGGACGAAATAATGACCCGACCTGAGAGAAAAACTCTTCCCTTGGACGCAGCAGGAGCCAGACTTTGATTTAATGAACGCAACTTTAACACTTTTACTTTAGTCTTTATGCACCGAGCGGCAGAGTGACCTGAGTCTGCGGACAACACGAAGCCCACTGCCCGAACCTGACCCCAACCAAAATCTTTCCTACATTTTTGTGTAATGGGAAACTCTTGTACATGAGAGCTGCTCTCTGACTGTATGAAGAACAGAATAATGCCCCCGACCCAGACCCAGACTCACAGACCCACACCCACACTCACAGGTTCAGCAGTTTGGATGTTTCGTGTGGACTTTAATTGGCAGAATAACATCTGTATCAGATGTCTTTCATGCTAAATCTGTGTCCTCATATCCTCGTGTCCTTCCCTCGCTCCTTTCGCTCTCCAGGGGAGGGCATCTGAATCTCTCGCACGCGCTCATAATTTGACCATTCAGATCAGCGCGTGCACGTATCTATGTGTATATGCATAAATATACAGGACCAGTCCACACACACTTCATACACAGACTTAAAAATATAGCGATAAAACTCTTGAAACACCGCTGCCTAAATATGATAAAATATGATTAAATGAACAGATGAGTCATTGTTGTCACTTTTAGTTTTGTATTTATTTATTAAACAAGGTTTAATAAAGTCTTTAATAAAGTGTTTGTCGTGATCACGTGGTGCTGCGTGGAGCCTCCTCCTCCCTCTGTCCCGCGTGTCTCGGTCAAACCCACTGATTATCGGCTCATGTTTAGGAAAATCTCATTCACCAGTCACTTTACATCCTCCTTTTATGGTGAGGTGGAGGTGTGAGGGGGCGTGGTCTGTCCTTTTATGGTGAGGTGGAGGTGTGGAGAGGGCGTGACGTGACGTGGGTTTACGTGCGCAAATTGTAGTTGCAGGTGGATTTATAAAGCAAAGATTGCGTGGTTTGGTGCGTGCGGTGGGTTTTCTAAATATGGAGTTTGCCTGGCGTGCACGCCTTGTCGTAGCTACTAGGCGTACGCACTAACTTACGACAACTCCTGCGCAGTTTTTATAAATGAGGCCCCTGGTCTAGTCCTGATGTGCTCCTGTTTTAGTGGGGTTTAATCCTGATTTAGTCCTACTTTAGCTCTAGGTTTAGTCTTGCTTTAGACCTGATCTAGTTCTTGGTTAGTCCTGCTTTAGTCCTGCTCTGAACCCACTTTACTCGTCCTGACTTGATGTTCTTGGTCCCTGGTTGTTGTTCAGGTGATCCTGGACCTCCTGCAGTACTCGGGGGTCCAGGTGCACAGGGCCCTGAGCTCAGATCGCCCTCTGCTGGACAAACTGGGAATCACAGACCTGCCCGCGGTGTATCTGCTGCAGCCCAACGGCACACACGGCACCATGCACACGTGAGACCCGAGCACACGACAAACTACACAACACGACAAATTACACGACAAACTACACAAAACACTACACAACAAACTACACAAAACACTACACAACAAACTACACAAAACACTACACAACAAACTACACAAAACACTACACAACAAACTACACAAAACACTACACAAAACACTACACAACAAACTACACAAAACACTACACAACAAAACTACACAAACACTACACAAACACTACACAACAAACTACACAAAAACACTACACAACAAACTACACAACAAAAACTACACAAAACACTACACAACACAAACTACACAAAACACTACACAACAAACTACACAAAACACTACACAACAAACTACACAAAACTACACAAAAACACTACACAAAACACACACAAACTACACAAAACACTACACAACAAAACTACACAAAACACTACACAACAAACTACACAAAACACTACACAACAAACTACACAAAACACTACACAACAAACTACACAAAACACTACACAACAAACTACACAAAACACTACACAACAAACTACACAAAACACTACACAACAAACTACGCAAAACACTACACAACAAACTACACAAAACACTACACAACAAACTACACAAAACACTACACAAAACACTACACAAAACACTACACAAAACACTACACAAAACACTACACAACAAACTACACAAAAACTACACAAAACACTACACAACAAACTACACAAAACACTACACAACAAACTACGCAAAACACTACACAACAAACTACACAAAACACTACACAACAAACTACACAAAACAACTACACAAAACACTACACAAAACACTACACAACAAACTACACAACAAACTACACAAAACACTACACAACAAACTACACAAAACACTACACAACAAACTACACAAAACACTACACAACAAACTACACAAAACACTACACAACAAACTACACAAAACACTACACAAAACACTACACAAAAACTACACAAAACACTACACAACAAACTACACAACAAACTACACAAAACACTACACAAAAAACTACACAACAAACTACACAACAAACATACACAAAAACACTACACAAAACACTACACAACAAACTACACAAAAACTACACACACAAAAACACTACACAACAAACTACACAAAACACTACACAACAAACTACACAACAAACTACACAAAACGAAGAACTGCACAAAACAACACAAAGAACTACACAACACAAAGAACTCAACAACAAAAGGCTCCTAGGTGGAACTTAAGGAGCAAATGAAAAAAACTGGGAAAAAATAGACAATAAAAAAATACAGGGGGAAAAAAAACTGGCTCAAAGTAACAGCCTGATTCATAATGACATTATCGTTCAGCTGCTCTTCATGTTTTAAAGTTGTCAAAAATATTAGTTATATAGTATAGTAGTTATTTACAAAAAAGTTAGTTACTTTGAGTTTATTTTTTATTTCAGACTGAGACTGAGACTCTACAGTGTAAATAATCACGGATATAAATAAAAAAGTAAAAGTGTGTCCAAACTTTTGACCGATAGTGTCGATTATTGGATTTTTCAGTGTCTGTTTAGTCTGAGGAAGGGCATCTGGACTAAAAGTTTCCTGTCCTGTTTCAGAGAGAAGAGGCTGCGCTTCTTCTTCACGTCGCTCCTCAGAACTTTACCCGGAGTCCAGAGGAAAACCCACACCAACAGCAGTGTCCTGAACCCACAGAAGGGGGCGCTGTCTCCTTCACAGAGCAGCCAGCCCTGGAGGGACTTTGACCGGTCAGTGCAGAAAAAAAGATTTGAAGTGCGCGTTTTTGTTTTTGTTTTTTTTTTTTAAGACAATGAATCTAGTCTCCATCTCCATGAGAAAAGCATTTGACCTCCACCGGAAAAGTTACACAGTGCAGTAGGGAAGAATCTGTGAGTCATTGTTTTTCAAAATAAAACCAAACTAAACACCAAAATAAAACGAAAAAAACAACAATTTTCTTCATTATTTATCTCCAAAAACAAAATGAAAAAACAGATAATGATTCGTTTTTTTCAGTTTTTGATTTTGTGTTTAAATGAAAAATGGAAAAAAAAACAGATAATGACCATTTCCCGTTTCCGTGACTTAAACTGTGATGCCGGACTGAACCAGGACTGAATCAGGTCCGGAACCAGACCGAGACTCAGACCAGGACCAGACCGGGACTGAGACTGGGACCAGACCAGGATTGAAAGCGGTATAGTCTTGGTTCAGTCCTGGTTCAGTCCTGGTTCAGTCCTGGTTCAGTCTTGGTTCAGTCCGTTATCCGTTTTATCCATTTTTTATTTAAACACAAAATCAAAAACTGAAAAAAATTATCATTATCTGTTTTTTCATTTTGGTTCTTTAGACAAGTAATGAAGAAAATATATATATATATTTTTTGGTTTTCTTATTTTTGGTTTTATATTGAAAAACAAATCATACACAGATTGGGGTGTAACGATACTGGCGATATCACAATATCGTCATAGTAAAATTGCCACGATATCTGATAAGGCACACTGTTAATTTTTGAGAAAATGTATGTATTTTAAGTGCACCTTATTGTCCAAAAAATACGGTCATCAAAGAGTATTCCTGCCGTCTACAGCCAGAGCGACCCAGATTTTTATTACAATTGTTTATTTGTTACTTGAATTTAGTTAAAAGTTGTACTAAATGATGGTCAGAGTGTTTATAATGTCAGTCTTGTTATGTTTAATATCGTAATATCGTGAGCTTTCCCACGATATCGCAATAAATATCATACCGTGAGACTTGAATATCGTTACACCCCTACGGCCAGTGTTGGGAAAGTTACTTTTAAAATGTAATCCCCTACAGATTACAGATTACATATCCCAAAATGTAGTTTGTAACATAATCCATTAAATTATTTAAAGTGAGTAATGTAATCTGATTACTTTGGATTATTTGATTTGCTGTAGAGAAGCAAAGACGAAATTAAAATATTATTGATAGAAGACGAAGAAAAACGTCCACACAGCAGGATTTAGTCCTGTTAAATCCTGTTTTAGTCCTGGATTAGTCCTGGATTAGACCTGATTTAGTCCTGGTTCAGTCCTGGTTTAGTCCTGGTTTAGTCCTGGTTTAGTCTTGGTGTAGACCTGGTGTAGACCTGGTGTAGTCCTGGTTCAGTCCTGGTTCAGTCCTGGTTCAGTCCTGGTTTAGTCCTGGTTTAGTCCTGGTGTAGTCCTGGTGTAGTCCTGGTTCAGTCCTGGTTTAGTCCTGGTTTAGTCTTGGTGTAGACCTGGTGTAGACCTGGTGTAGACCTGGTGTAGTCCTGGTTCAGTCCTGGTTTAGTCTTGGTGTAGACCTGGTGTAGTCCTGGTTCAGTCCTGGTTTAGTCCTGGTTTAGTCCTGGTTTAGTCCTGGTGTAGACCTGGTGTAGTCCTATTTCAGTCCTATTTCAGTCCTGGTTCAGTCCTGGTTTAGTCCTGGTTTAGTCTTGGTGTAGACCTGGTTTACACCTGGTTTAGACCTGGTTTAGACCTGGTTTAGACCTGGTTTAGTCCTGGTTTAGTCCTTGTTTAGCCCAAAAATGTGAAAACAGGAAAATCCCTCTGTGTAATCCATTTATTTCAACAAAGTAACTGTAATCCAATTACCACTCACTGAAACAGTAACTGTAACTGAATACAGTTACTCATCATTTGTACTCTGATTACATAACTCCAGTACATGTAATCTGTTACTCCCCAGCACTGGCTACAGCGCAGCTTTAACTCCGTCGTAGTTGATCCTGTCACGTGGCCTTTAACCCCGGTTCAGTCTCGGTTTAAGCCTCGGTCCAGTTTGGGTCCCGGTTCTGACCCGGTTGTGGTCCTCAGGTCTCGGGTGTACGCGGCCGATCTGGAGTCGGCGCTTCATTACCTGTTCAGGGTGGAGCTGGCGTCTCGCAGCTCTCTGGAGGGGGAGGAGCTACAGACCTTCAAAGACCTGGTCACTCTGCTCGCCAAGGTAACGAACGTCACACGCCAAACGCCTAACGATACTTTTGTACTCGCCGAGGTAAGACGCTCAGAAGTGTCGCAAATCGGACAGTAATCGGTACGAAAACTGGTGTTGAAATGTATTTTTTATTATCACTGTGGTATCGGATCAGTATCGAGTCTTTTCTTAGTCCGTGTACAGTTTGTTCTTTTGAAAGTCAATTAAGAACGAAAAACAATAAAATGGGAAAACAGTTTATTTAATTATTCCATTTTAGTGTAAAAAAAAAAAACAACCAGAGAAACAGCGCCGCGTTTACTTTCATTCAGAGGTGGGGACTTGGACTCGAGTCAGACTTGAGTCACTATTTTTAGGACTTGAGACTTGACTTGATAAAATGGACTAAGACTTGGGACTCGACTCAGACTTGACCATCGGTGACTTAGTGTAAAAAAAAACACATTTCAATCTCTATTTCCAAGATTTAATTTAAAGATAATTTCAAATAACAACGAACAAAAAACACGGATGTTACGTTGTAGTTTTGTTTTGTGTTTTGTGTTTTCAGCTTTATCCAGGAGGGGGCGCCGTGGTGAAGCTCATGGAGACGCTCTCTGATTGGCTGCTGAGTCTCCCTCTGCAGAAGATCCCGTATCAGGCCGTTCTGGACCTGGTGGACAACAAGATGAAGGTGAAACACAAGGCCTGCTCCTGTCTGCTCCTGTCTGCTCCTGTCTGCTCCTGTCTGCTCCTGTCAGCTCCTGTCTGCTCCTGTCTGCTCCTGTCAGCTCCTGTCTGCTCCTGTCTGCTCCTGTCTGCTCCTGTCAGCTCCTGTCAGCTCCTGTCTGCTCCTGTCTGCTCCTGTCTGCTCCTGTCTGCTCCTGTCTGCTCCTGTCTGCTCCTGTCTGCTCCTGTCTGCTCCTGTCTTCTCCTGTCTGCTCCTGTCTGCTCCTGTCTGCTCCTGTCTGCTCCTGCCTGCTCCTGTCTGCTCCTGTCTGCTCCTGTCTGCGCCTGTCTGATCCTGTCAGATCCTGTCTGCTCCTGTCTGCTCCTGCCTGCTCCTGTCTTCTCCTGCCTGCGCCTGTCTGCTCCTGTCTGATCCTGTCAGATCCTGTCTGCTCCTGTCAGATCCTGTTTTTGCTCCTGTCTGCTCCTGTCTGCTCCTGTCTTCTCCTGTCTGCTCCTGCCTGCTCCTGTCTGCGCCTGTCTGCGCCTGTCTGCTCCTGTCAGATCCTGTTTTTGCTCCTGTCTGCTCCTGTTTTCTCCTGTCTGCTCCTGTCTTCTCCTGTCTGCTCCTGCCTGCTCCTGTCTTCTCCTGTCTGCTCCTGCCTGCTCCTGTCTTCTCCTGTCTGCTCCTGTCTGCTCCTGCCTGCTCCTGCCTGCTCCTGTCTTCTCCTGTCTGCTCCTGTCTTCTCCTGTCTGCTCCTGTCTTCTCCTGTCTGCTCCTGTCTTCTCCTGTCTGCTCCTGTCTTCTCCTGTCTTCTCCTGTCTGCTCCTGTCTTCTCCTGTCTGCTCCTGTCTTCTCCTGTCTGCTCCTGCCTGCTCCTGTCTGCTCCTGTCTGCTCCTGTCTGCTCCTGTCTGCTCCTGTCTGCTCCTGCCTGCTCCTGTTTTTGCTCCTGTCAGCTCCTGTCTTCTCCTGACACCTCTGGCCCTGCTCCTGTCTGCTCCTGCCTGCTCCTGTCTGCTCCTGTCTTCTCCTGTCAGCTCCTGTTTTTGCTCCTGTCTTCTCCTGTCTTCTCCTGTCTTCTCCTGTCTGCTCCTGTCTGCTCCTGTCTTCTCCTGTCTGCTCCTGTCTGCTCCTGTCTTCTCCTGTCTGCTCCTGTCTGCTCCTGTCTGCTGCTGTCTGCTGCTCCTGTCTGCTGCCTGTCTGCTCCTGTCCTGCTCCTGCCTGCTCCTGTCTGCTCCTGTCTCTGCTGCTCTGCTCTGTCTGCTCTGCTCTGTCTGCTCCTGTCTGCTCCTGTCTGCTGCTGTCTGCTCTGTCTGCTCCTGCTGCTCTGTCTGCTCCTGTCTGCTCTCCTGTCTGCCCTGTCTGCTCCTCCTGTCTGCTCCTGTCTGCTCCTGTCTGCTCCTGTCTGCTCCTGTCTGCTCTGTCTCTCTCTCTCCTGTCTGCTCTGCTCTCTGCTCTGCTCCTGTCTGTCTGCTCCTGACACCTCTCGTTTCCCCCTTCAGATTTCCGGCGTGTTCTTGAGCTCGGAGTTGCGCTGGGTCGGCTGTCAGGGTTCTGCTCCTGGTTTCCGTGGTTACCCGTGCGCCCTCTGGACGCTGTTCCACGTGTTGGCGTCGCGCAGACAGGCGGCGCCCTCCGCCCTGCGGCACACGGCGCTGGAGGCGGAGCCGGCGCCCGTGCTCGCCGTGATGCGCCGCTACATCAGGACTTTCTTCGGCTGCGAGGAGTGCGGCAAAAACTTTGAGAAGGCCGCGTCGTCCAACGGCGCCGCGAAGGTCAAGAGCCCAGAAGAAGAAGTGATGTGGCTCTGGAAGCAGCACAACGACGTCAACTACAGACTCGCCGGTAACGACACGTTTATCATGATTATTTATTTTACTTTTAACTACAGACTCGCTGGTAACGACACGTTTATCATGATCATTTATTTTACTTTTAACTACAGACTCGCCGGTAACGACACGTTTATCATGATCATTTATTTTACCTTTAACTACAGACTCGCCGGTAACGACACGTTTATCATGATCATTTATTTTACTTTTAACTACAGACTCGCCGGTAACGACACGTTTATCATGATCATTTATTTTACTTTTAACTACAGACTCACCGGTAACGACACGTTTATCATGATCATTTATTTTACTTTTAACTACAGACTCACCGGTAACGACACGTTTATCATGATTATTTATTTTACTTTTAACTACAGATTCACTGGTAACGACACGTTTATCATGATCATTTATTTTACTTTTAACTACAGGGAAGAACAGTGGTCCGTGTACTGTCTGTTCTTTTGAATTTCAATTAAGAACGAAAAACAATAAAATGAGAAAACAGTTTATTATTTCATTTTTCCAACCTCTAGTTTTATCTCTTTTTAATTTAAAGTTTATTTCAAATAAATCAGTCAAAAAACAGTCTCAGTGCCTGTTTTAATTTGGATATTTGATTCTCTCTGATTTATTTATTATGAAGTTCTGCTGCTGAAGGACTCACCTGGAAAAAAAAATCGTTGCAGTTTCGTGGACAAACATATTTCGTCTTTTATAGCTTTGCGTTTATTTTCACGTCTTTTCAAGTCGTTGTTGATCCACGACGAGAAACAGAAGCAGCGAGAAACTCTCTTTTGTTCAGTTGACACCACAGAACTAGAATAAAAATAACAAGAAGAACAACTGTAATAAAAGTTTTATTCTAGATCCAGGGTCGACTCTAAATTCACAGACGACTCTGAGCAGAAGAGAAAATAAAATATGAGGATTAAAACAGGCACCAAGATTTATAATTGGTTTATTTGAAATAAACTTTTAATTAAATATTGGAAATAAAGGTCGAAATCTGAAACTAAACCATTTTCAGTCCCGGTCTGGTCTTGGTCTCGGTCTTGGTCTCGGTCTCGGTCTGGTCCTGGTCTCAGTTCTGGTCTGGTCTGGTCTTGGTCTGGTCTTGGTCTGGTCTGGTTTTCAGTCCCGGTCTAGTCCCGGTCTCAGTCCTGGTCCTGGTTTCAGTCCCGGTCTGGTCCCGGTTTCAGTCCCGGTCTGGTCCCGGTCTCAGTCCCGGACTTTTCCCGGTCTCAGTCCCGGACTTTTCCCGGTCTCAGTCCCGGACTTTTCCCGGTCTCAGTCCCGGTCTAGTTCCGGTCTCAGTCCCGGTCTAGTTCCGGTCTCAGTCCCGGTCTAGTCCCGGTCTAGTTCCGGTCTCAGTCCCGGTCTCAGTCCTGGTCTCAGTCTCGGACTTTTCCCGGTCTCAGTCCCGGTCTAGTCCCGGTCTAGTCCCGGTCTCAGTCCTGGTCTCAGTTCTGGTCTGGTCTTGGTCTGGTCCTGGTCTAAGTCCTGGTCTCAGTCTTTGTCTGGTCCTGGTCTCGTTCCGGTCTGGTCGGACCTGGTTTAGTCCTGGTTTAGTCCTGGTTTAGTCCTGGTTTAGTCCTGGTTTAGTCCGTTATCCGTTTTTCCATTTTTCATTTAAACACAAAATCGAAAACTGAAAAAACGAATCTGTTTTTTTCATTTTGGTTTTGGAAACAAATAATGAAGAAAATAGTATTTTTTTCGTTTTCTTATTTTAGATTTTATTTTGAAAAACAAATGAACGATTGACACACGGACCAAATATGAGCACTTTAAACCCAAACTCCTCCGTATTTTGTTTGTTCGTTTTTAATCACTTTCTCGTGTAAACTCGCTCCTTCCTCGTTCCAGACTCGCTCTGATCCGTCCCTCGTTTTCTCTCTTTCCGCAGGATCCCTGAGCGACGACCCCATGTTTCCCAAAGGGGCGTGGCCTCCTCCGTCCCTGTGCGCCTCCTGCCACGAGGAGAACCGCGGCCTGCACGCCTTCAACCTCCAGGAGGTCCAGCGCTTCCTGCTCCACCACTACGGCGAGAACAACCTGTCCAGGAAGTACGCCGTGGAGCCCGCCGCCGCCGTGGAGCCCGCCGCCGTCGCCACCGTGGAGACCGAAAAGAAAAAAGAAGAGGAGGAGGAGAAGAAGAAAGGAGACGAGAAGAAGCAGAAAGGAGAAGAGGAGGAGAAAGGAGACGAGGAGAGAGGAGACAAGGAGGCAGGAGGAGAGAACGACGGCGCGAAAAAGGACGCTGACGAGGCCGAGAAAGTGGACGGTCATCACAAAGCGGCGGAAAGAGTGGAGGAGAAGGAGGAGAAGGAGGAGAAGGAGGACCGAGGCGGAGCTGCGGAGGAGCGGGCGGTGCCGGGCAGGGAAGAGGGGAATCGAACCCTCGCCCTGGGCTTCACCAGCGTGGACATGAGCCTGTGCCTGCTCCTCTACGTCGGCTCCTGCGTCTTCCTCATGCTGCTTTTCTTCTTCTTCCGGGTGCGCTCGCGGCGGTGGAGGTTGCGCCCCCCGAAGTTCGCCGTGTGAATCGCGGTAGACTCAAAAACACAAAGACTAACTGGAAATGTAAAGATGCACTGCGTAACTTTTCTGCCGGAGCCGCCGTCAAACGCTTTTCTTCGTAGAAATGTTTTTTGATTTGTCTGGAATGTTTCACAGTGTGACTCGACTTGGACTCGAGTCAGACTTGAGTCGCTATTTTTAGGACTTGAGACTTGACTTGATAAAATGGACTAAGACTTGGGACTTGGCTCGGACTTGGCTCGGACTTGAGGCCTGTGACTTGAGACGACTTGATGCTTCTCCTAAAAAAAATATGTTTTTAGAAAATACTTTTCTCTTTAAAGTTGATAAAAGTGGTACTAAATTTTAAAGCAACAAACTGGAACATTTCCCTCCCACTTCTGTTTGGTGCTTTGGACTCGACTTGGACTCGACTTGGACTTGACTTGGATTTGACTTGGATTTGACTTGGACTTGATTTGGACTCGATTTGGACTTGACTTGGACTTGACTTGAACTTGATTTGGACTTCATTTGGACTCGACTTGGACATGACTTGGACTTGATTTGGACTTGACTTGGATTTGACTTAGATTGACTTGGACTTGACTTGGATTTTACTTGGACTTGACTTGGACTCGACTCGGACTCGACTCGGACTTGACTTGGACTTACGGACCAGCGACGCGAGACTCGACTTGGACTCGTCTTTCTTTAACTCGGGATTTGACTCGGACTTGAGGTCAGAGACTTGCAAAACAATGACTTGGTCCCCCTCTGATGACATTAAACCTTTCTGTCGTCACGGAAACCAAACCAGACCGAGTTCCAGGTCAGGTCCGTGGAGAGGCGACCCCGCTCAACAGTCAGAACGCCTGATTTTTGAGGTATTTTTGAGCTGTAAATCCACCTGTAATTGAATAAATGTAAAGTCGAGCTGTTTAAAGTCACACTGTGGAACATTCCAGGCGGAGAAATGACATCTCCATAGAAACGGTGACAAACCCCGCACCAGAAAAGTTACACAATGCACTTTTAGATCTCGCCACTGCCGCCTGAGCCCGACTTTAGGTTCTGGGATGAGTTTGGATTTAAAGACGCCGTACCTGATTTTTTTCTTCGTTTTTTTATTTTTTTATTTTTAAAGCATAAAAACACAAGTGGTTCATTTTAAAGAGTTTGCAGGGGTCCAAAGTTCTTCCTCACTTAACATTCAAAACTAATTTGTGTCCTAATTACTCACCACGATGAGTTTATAAGTGCTTTTCTCCGACTTTCAGACAACATTCACGAGGGATGTAACAACAACCGAAATATCGTGATTCTCAACGTCAAAAGTCTCACAAAAAGTACCGTGGATCTTCAGTATATCGAATCACAAGTCTCTCGGCTCAAATTAAGTTATAGAGCAGCAGTATGGCTACGAAAGACAGAGGGAACTACATAGACCAGGGGTGGGCAAACTACGGCCCGGGGGCCATATGCGGCCCTTTAAAGCTTTTAATCCGGCCTGCCAAACTTGAATTAATTATAGTAATAAACCTTGTTAATGTTTTATTTTTCTGCATTTCCGGCGTTTCCCAGTAGATGGCGCACTACATATACATTGAGGTGCAGCCATGGATGTATTAAAATAACTGGACACAGTGTTGTTGTCGCTGCCTTGAGTTGACGTAGTGACACTCACTGGTTTTACAGCAGAAAAAGTCCCCCTGGCCTGAGAGAAGAGTTTTCTCATAGAGGCAATGTGATCACAAACTGCTCGTGTTCGGCTGACCTTCAACTTTCAAAAATGTCGGATTTTGTGGCGATTTTTACCTGTTTTTAGATTATACACTTTTTCTCAGCTCAAAATCCTTCAGTCGTCTTAAAAAACGCTTCATAATCATGCGCTTCGGCTCCGCTCTGGCTCCTCTCACTCTGATTGGTCAAAACGATCACGTGATACACGAGGCCGAGCTCCGTGCGTGCGTTTGCGTGCATTGGCATGTGCCCGCGGGAGAAAAGACGCTACTGCACATGCTCGGTCGGCCCACCGGAGGTACCTCGCCGGGCTAAAGGCGCCATCATGCGCCATTGAACTCAGCCCATTGACTTGAATGGGCGGCCATTTTGGAACCTGTGGGCTTGGGTTCATCTTATTATGTTGGCTGCAATGCTTTATGGGAAAGTGTTGTTTCGGACGAGCTAATGACAGGAGTCATTCTCGGTCAGTGTATTGGGACCATGAGTGAGGCAGAAGTGTTCAAGACGTAACACTGCTCTGTTTCTGTTCTGAACAGGGAGAAAGTGAAGTTAAAAGACTCTTGGACGACGTGTTATGACGTCTTCACGCACAGAGGGTCATAACATCCAACAGAGCAGAAAGTGTTGTAGAGGAAAGATTTAGTTGGGTCTGGGCTTGTACCGGAGCGTGTTGCAATCGTGCGTTTTGTTCAGTGGAAATTCAAGTTTAGGGAGATTGGCTAAAGAAAATATGGTGACAGCCACAACTAGATGGCGCCTGGAATGTATTTTAGAAGTGTTTGTTTTTTGGACACATTCGCACTCAACTTTACATTCTTGTAACCGGATTAGAGCGTTTACATGCACCATGACTCAAAAAACCCGATCGTAACCGGACACTGATGTTCATGTAAACCAGTGCTTCTCAATTATTTTCTGTCATGCCCCCCCTAGGAAGAATAAAACATCTCGCGCCCCCCCCCGCGTGACTATAGATAGTATCATTTGTCTATAAAACTGTTATAAGTACACCTCTGCATAACACTGTATCCTTATTAACGTATAAGAGAATAAAAGTACTGAAGTAGCAGTCACAAAGCGGGATGATTGTCGGCAATATTCGGCACGTTTTCGCTGAAAAATCTCAAGCGGCTTATCAGAGTGATTGGGGTGTAATGTATTTAAGTGACGCCTTAATTTATTGGGCTTCATGCTATCGGCTGCCAACATTTTTAGACACAGTAACACACCGGTCTTTCCTCGTCTCCCGCCGTAGTCACAGTGAAGCCAAGCGCTACATACGCTTCGTCATATTTCCTCGTCTTAGCTTTCGGGAGATTTTCGTTTGTCTCTTTATCTCCGTCTCTCTCCGTCTGTCTTCTCATCCCTGTTAAATATTTTTCATGGTGTCACTTGAGGGTCTGCTACACTTCGTGTCTACACTTCATACTCTGTGCTGTGTGCAAAGCGCACATGCTCAGTGCAAACAAAACTCCTACACCACCGAGCGAATGCTCCCTGCGCACACTCTGCCAATGAGAGCGCCACTGCCACCTAATGTAGTGGAAGTGCAATTGCACTTTATTCTAGGACAATAAAAAAATAAAAAAGCATGTTCCCCGAGGTCAAACGCGCCCCCCTTGACGGAGCCTCGCGCCCCCCCAGGGGGGCCCGCCCCACTATTTGAGAAGCACTGATGTAAACACACACATCATGAACAATGCACCAGATCAAAATCTATTTTATTAATTTAATTTTCAGTGTTTTATACAGATATTTTGTTGTGATGTTTTGTAGAGACTTTCAATTGAAATTCAAGCTCAGGTTTTCTACATATCTCATGTTATTTTTTTCTCTCCACTCCGTCCATCTGCTCCTGGTCCGACCCTTCCCTCAAATTTTAGAACCGTGTGTGGCCCCCGAGCCAAAAAGTTTGCCCACCCCTGACATAGACCATGATCCTTTGCTCCGTTTCAGCGCAGACCACAAGAAGAAATACCAGTTTTAAGCGCGTTTAAAATCTCAATTATTTGTTTTTCGACAGAACCAAAAGTCTAAAAGGAAAACGTAGCGCGGTTACAGTTTTGTTTGGTTGTCGTTACATCCCCACCATTCACAACTAGCATGCTAACCACCCTCTTCTTGATATTTATACAAAAAAACAGAACACAGCAGGTTTATTTTGACGTCAGGAGCTGCTCAGACCGCGTTTCTGTGCTTGGGGAGAGACGTTTTGCTCAGATATACGGGGAAAATCGGGTACAGGGCCTTTTAAAGTGGAAGTCCGCAACATTTCACGTGAAAACTCCAGGCTTTTAAAACTCTTTTACACCTTTTTTGGTGTTACGCTTCGTTGTATTTCGGTTCTCTGCGCACTCTCACGTCACAGAAACCACATTGTCAGAAGCAACTTGAGCAACAGCGAAGGATTTCAAACCTCGGCAGTTTCCACGAGAGCTTTAATTCTGAATAAAAATGAATTCCACTTTCGAAAGATCATGAAAACACTTAAATCCTAATGAAAATGATTACCGTATTTTCTGAACTATAAGTCGCTCCAGAGTAGAAGTCGCACCAGCCAAAAAATGCACAATGAAGAAGAAAAAAACATATATAAGTCACACTTTTTGGGGGAAATTTATTTTGTAAAATGAGAGAACAGGAGCCGACATTTCCTGTGTAAAGTCAAGTTGTAGTTCTAACAACAGAAGAGAGAAGAACAGACTGTTAACGTCACATATTTCACAGTTCTTCAGATAAACTATAACATAAAAAACAGAACAAGTTTAACCAAACTCTCCATCTCACTCCAAATCACTAAATCCATTCAAATCTTCATCCTCGGTGTCACTTCTGAACAACTCAACCTCGACCTCCGGAGGTAAACGAATCCATGTGTCATTCGTTCATTTGTTTTTCAAAATAAAACCAAAAATAAGAAAATGAAAAAAAAAAAAAAAACAACAGCTATTTTCTTCATTATTTGTCTCCAAAACAAAAAAAAACCTGAAAATTATTCGTTTTTTCAGTTTTAGATTTTGTGTTTAAATGAAAAATGGAAAAAACAGATAACGGATTGAACCAGACCGGGACCAGACCAGGACTGAAAACGGTTTAGCCCTGTTTGAGTCCTGGTTCAGTCCGTTATCCTTTTTTTTTCCATTTTTCATTTAAACACAAAATCGAAAACTGAAAAAATGAATCATTATCTGTTTTTTCATTTTAGTTTTGGAGACAAATAATGAAGAAAATAGCTGTTTTTTCGTTTTCTTATTTTTTGTTTTATTTTGAAAAATAAATGAATGAATGACACATGGATGTAAACAGAGCGCCGCTTCCTCTTCTGTGCCGCTGTCGTCAGATTCAGCATCAGTTCCAGTGAGAATTATTCTGGTCTTTCTGAATCCCGACAGGATGGTTTCGATGTCACTGAAGGACCTCGGGTTTAGACCTCAGTTAGACCTGGATTAGACGTCAGGTTAGACCTTGGATTAGACCTGGTTTAGACCTCAGGTAGACCTAGACTTGGTTTAGGACAGCTTCAAGTTTAGACCTGGTTTAGACCTGGTTTAGACCTGGGTTAGACCTTGGTTAGACCTTGGGTTAGATCTCGGGTTAGACCTTGTTTAAACCTGGATTAGATCTTGGTTAGACCTAGTTTAGATCTGCCTTTGACTTGGTTTAATCCAGGTCCTGATTCTGATTATGGTTAGACCTGCTTTAGACCTCAGTTAGACCTAGACTTGGTTTAGGACAGCTTCCAGTTCAGACCTGGTTTAGTCCTGGTTAGACCTGGTTTAGACCTTGGTTTAGACGGGGGCTAGACCTGGTTATATTTACAGAATTATTCGGGTCTTTCTGAATCTTGACAGGATGATTTCAGTGTCACTGAAGTCCAGACTTTGTCCATCCATCCAGTGACTTCAGGAAAGTTTCATGGTTCATCCTCCCGGTGTCACAAGTTTCTCTCTCACTCCAAACTTTCTTTCTGCTGCTCGATTTCCGTTTTCAGCTGCAGATTTCACGACTTGCAGCAGGACAGCGACTATTTCTACAGGAGACGTGCGCAGTAGAGCAGTGACAGTGGTACAGACAGAGGAGTAAAAGTCGTACTATACTAATATTAACACACGAGCCTAGAGCCTCTCGCTGCTGTCAATCTGAAAATTTTAACCCAAACCATGAAAAAAAGTGCAACTTATAGTCCAAAAAATACGGTATTCGGAATTAAACTTATTTCTGAAGTAAGTGTTTGGTTTATTCTGATTTTAAAGCCAAGTTAATTTCTTCCTGGATCATGTTTCTCGTTTATTCTTCGTAAAAAATAATCCCGGTCGTTCAGTTCATGCTCATTGTGTCGCCCTTCGATCCGGCACCACCAGTCCCGTCTTCGGACTTTGATCCACGTCTCTTTGGATTTGTCAGCGGGATGTGGGAGTGGGCTGAGGTAGAGCAGCCTCACACTCACTTTGTCTTCTTCCTCCCTTCTCCTCCTCAGCCGACAGACGTAAAGCGCGATGAGACAATTATCATTATCATCGGAACGACCACGGAAAAAGTTTGGATCGTGTTTGCGTCCGTGCAGTAACGACAAACCGAGATGACGGAAAAGCCGGTAGCAGCTGAAGTGTGTGTTTTCTTCCCAAAGATGTAAATCCGTAGGTGTGTCTGTCCAATCAGAACCTTCCCGACCGCCAGACGCCGAGACACGTTAAATAAAGACAATTTAACGAGCTTTTAATGAGTAAACCTCAATTCAGAATTATTATTTCCACGTAAATGCGAAGGAGAATATTTTAATTCAGAACAATTAATTCACAAAACGCCAATACTCAAGGTGTCTCAAAGTGTTTTAAAAGCCTGAATATTTGTCTGTTTACACATTTCCCCAGATCCAGGTCCAGTTCTGGTTCTGGTTCTGGTCCAGCTCGAAGCACAAACACGTGGGTTCAGGGTTCACTGTTGGACGGAATACTGAAAGAATCACGGATCAGAGGACTAATCTGGAGCTCCAGTCTGGTCTGTGAGGACGGGCACCACAACTATAAGCTGTGTGTTTGTTTTGATTCTTTTGTTTTAAACTCGTGCCAGTGTCGATGCTAAAACATTTCTCGTCGTTTTTTTATCGAAACTGGACGGACATTTCCCCGGAGGGACTGACCGGACCCGTCTGATCCTGGACTCTGGGTGATCTCAGGGAAAACTGGGCGGGGCACCTGTAAATAGTTCCGTGGCGGCCGTTTTGTGTGTTTTTAATAATAAAGAGTATTTATTGTGGAGTGGATCATGTGACTGTGCCAAATGTTCCGCCCGGCGACGGCGCTGAGGTGCGTTCTGATTGGTCAATTCACTGGACTCTGTTCTGCTGTGAAACCGTCCGCTTCTTTTCCTTCTCATGTCGTCGCTCACAAGAGAGACACTGTTGATTTGGAATAAAAAAAACATGTTTTAAACTTTGGAGTCGTCTGTAACTGTGACAAAGTTCACTGTGGTGGAGCCGTTTATCAAGACACATGTGCCACGACTCAAAGGTCAAACTTCACAAACTCGAGAGCTCAGGATAGAAAGTCCTAAACCAGGGGTGTCAAACATATGGCCCAGGGGCCAGATCTGGCCCTCCGAGACCTTTATTCTGGCCCTCGGCTGATTTTCTACTAAAATATTTTAATGATATTTTCTATTAAAATCTTGTTAATTTTCTGTGGTGTTTATCACAGCAGCGTCTCCAGCGTCTCTGTACGTGGCCCCTCCCACCAGAGCAGCACAAATGAAGACTTGTGTCTTTCCAAACGCTCTTAAAGGACGATCGTTTTGACTGTTGACCGTGACACCCTCATCAGAAAAATGTCCAACATGAGAAAAGTGGAGCCGAGTGCAGGATTTTACAACAAAAAATGACTTATTCCTGTTTACAAATGTTAGGTATCCTCAAAAAACCATTCAGCGTGTTCTCTTAAAAATAACCACTGGAATCGATCAATTAAAATCAAAAAGAATTTATTCCCTAAACAATACAGTTCTAATACAGAGCTCTGAGTCAGATTCTTGTCCCTAACTGCCTATGGTTACAGAGGTCTTAAGATCAGGCAATCTGACTGCCTCTGAACTAACTTAACTCAGGTTTTATAGACATTCATATGAATATGCAAATAATATGTTGAACAGGTAACGCCTTGAATCTTCCCTGGAGTATCTCTGCATTCCTTTAGGTTTAGGGAGTTGACAGCAGCCCAATGTAAATCACCATATTGTTTAGTTTCACTCCAGGCCGAACCATCTCCACAGCTGCTGCTCTGCAATGAAATTCCTTAAAAAGACACAACCTTTATCTGCAAAGGATTACCTCAAAAACATGCATGTTTCACACAGTGGTGCCTTTAAACATACATAAGATTTCAGTGGTTAAACAACTCAATGTGTAATAGTCAAACAAATATATAAATTCAATGTTTAATATGCACATGTGATGCACTCAAGAAACTTCACCACTTGGTACAGCCTTCACAAACAAGTTCATGTTAAAACTTTGTGTTGAAATTGTATTTTTCTTAAAGTTTCTGGTTGTTCATAATATTATAATATTTTGTAAAAGAAAGAGTTCATCAATTAAAAAAGATTTCTGTAATAGATTTGTGTTTCTCTGCACAAATATTTGAACTTATTGTTATTTTTGGGGTTTATATGACATGAGTTTTCTGATCCGGACACTTTGGGATCAAAGTCGGTTGGATACGGCCCCCGGAACAACATGAGTTTGACACCCCTGGTTTAAACAGACGTTACAGGCAAAAATCTGCCGTGTTTGTTGTAAATGTGCCACATGTTTATTCAGAGTCATGAGACAAAACAATATCAAAAGTGAAGAGGAGTCCTGGGACGTCCTAATCTTCTGCTCTGTCCTGGTGCATGTGTCATTACAGTGACCTGTGTGAAGTCGCCCCAACAAACACAAACCTGCACAAAAACTGTCTGTCGTTTGAGCTTCGTTTGTGCTGTTTTAGTTTTGGAGATATTAATGATTTTTATGGGACAAATTGGGGTCATTGAGCCATTTTCAGTCTCGGTCTGGTCACTGTCTCGGTCCTGGTCCTGGTCTGGTCCCGGTCTGGTCCCTGGTCTGGTTGTGGTCTGGTCCTGGTCTTGGTCTTGGTCTTGGTCCCGGTCTGGTCGCAGACTCGGCCCTGGTCTGGTCCCGGTTTCAGTCCCGGTCTGGTCCCGATCCTGGTTCAGTCTGTTATCTGTTTTTCCACTTTTTCATTTAAACATAAAATAGAAAACTGAAAAAAAATTATCGTTATCAGTTTTTTTGTTTGTTTTGTTTTGTTTTGATTTTTTCATTTTGGTTTTGGAGACAAATAATGAAGAAAATAGTTGTTTTTTCGTTTTCTTATTTTTGTTTTTATTTTGAAAAACGAATAAACGAATGACACATGGACCAAATATGGACCCATTCACGGATCCAGAAGAGTCCAACACCGATGTCCATGTGCTGACAGAATCTTGGTGTCATTTGTTCAGTTGTGTTGATCTTTCTACATAAACAGGTTTATTCAAATCAAACAACAACATGGAAAAAAGAATCACTGTCCAGGCCTCGTCTTATTGCGCCATCTGCTGGACAAAAAATACAACAGCATCAAATGAAGCAGCTGCAGTTTGTGTGTTTCATGTTTCATTTGACAATGACGCACAAACAGTGAAAGAATCAGTTTAACGACGACAAACTGAAAAGATAAATACACTGAAAAGATAAATACACTGAGGTGGATGAGACGGTTTTAAATTTGACAGACGATTTACACAGTGTGAGGTTTATTTTGTAAGAGTCAAGAATGTGTGTGCGTGCGTGTGTTTGTTTTTGTAGGTGTGTGTGTGTTTGTGTGCATTCTTTTAACCAGTGAAACCAGTTTTGACTTTTGTTCAGGTGAAGTGTGTCACATGAATCAGTCGTGTTTCCAGCTGCAGGTAAGAATCACCTTTATCTAGAACCTTCTTTAAATCTTGTGCCTTGTTAATGGAAATTTGTGGATCTGAAGGAACATATATCATAAAAACTTTAGCTGTGGTTGTTCAATTTACATGAAAATTCACATATTTTAAACATATGTGAGTTTCATCCTAATTGGACCAATTTTGGCGATGTGAGGCGTTTAGTAGACACTCTGTGTGTTCGGGAATTTGTGTTTCCATTGATTTCTGTTATAAACTCATTTTTTGACCCCTACTCTAAAAATCAAGGTGAAAATATTTTTTGATGCAAGTTTTAAATTTTTCTGGAGCAAACCCAATGAATTTTAGTTAAAAAAATATGTTTTTCCACAATTAACCAAATTTTAGCCCCTCCCCCCTCACTTCTGTGTGACCCTATATGTAAAATAACCACTTCCAAGAAACCAAGGGTCTGAATAGTTGAATGAAAAAAATAATATTTCAAATAGTATTTCTGAGAGTATTTGAATCAGATCTTGTATGTGTCTGTATAGAAATATGTGGATCTGAAGGTAAATTTATCATTATTACGTTGGCTCTGGTTGTTCGATTTACATGAAAATTCACACAAGACGTGTATTTTTACAAGTTTTTAGACATGTGAGTTTCATCAATTTTGGCAACATGAGAAGTTTTGGACGCACAAATTTCTAAAACACACTCAGCGTTTACCCATTGACTTCCATTATAAACTCATTATTTGACCTCCTTCAAAAATCAAGATGAAGATAATTTAGATTTTTTTTTTTTCTCTGCAGTAAACCAAATGAATATTACAAAAAAATATGTTTTTCAAAACTTTGCCTACTTTTAGCCCCTCCCCCCATGACCTCCACTCTCACCCTTTACAAAACATATTCACATTTGGACAATTTGAGCCTGAAAAACCAGATGAAAATAAAGAAAGTCACCAAAAATGGATTGAGTGTGTTTGTAGTGAATATCTCTTTGAGTCTGAATGGTTGGAGTAGAAAAAATTAGTTCAAGGAGTGTTTCTGTGGCTGTGTAATGTAAAAACAGACAATCTGTAAACAAATTAAAACAAAAAATGTGGGTTTGAAAACAACAAGAGAATGTCCCAAAAGTCATAAAGATGAACATTCATTTTAAAGCTAAGGCTTCAAATTTTATGTTTTAATCCACATTATGTTGATTTGTGTAGTTTGATTGAGTGTAACAGAGGGAAGCACACATGCCTTGTGAAAAAGATGAGAAAAATGAGACCTTTGGAAATTGCCTAAAAAAAATTTGGATTTCAGATTTTCACAGTGACAAGAAATTTAAGAAACTAGGTGAAATCTGCAGTCAAATGCACAGTTTGGACTGTGGGCCGCATGTTCAGTCCAAACTGACCTGGTCTGGGGTGTGTGGGAGGGTTCAGGTGTTTGGGGCACAGGAAATATTTGTGAAAATGAGCAGCTCATCTAAAACATGCATTTAGGGACCGATTTTGAGCCGGGGCAAAAATATCTTAATTTAGTGCAATTTAGAAAATCTCTCTAATTTTACTAAATGTGAGACTATTGCTGCTAGAAAATGTGCATTAAAAGAAAAAAAAAACTTATTTCCGAGATTAAACTCTGCATTTATAATGGAAGTCTATGGGAGAAATCTGCATGGGAAAAATGTTGTGTTTAAAATGACAGTAAAACAAAACAAAAACAAAAAAAATGCATCAAACTCAGTCTTCCCACTGATTGTTCATATGGAGGAGCCAGTCACAAGGAAATCAGGAAAAGTCACATTTCTTTTCATTTATGGAGTTACAGTAAATCCCAGTGTAGCAATAACAGAGATACGGATTTAAGGGCTCATGGAAAATGTGGTAATTTAATGAAAAATCACAATTTCTTACATTTTACATAATTGTATGTAGTTTTCAACAGGAAAATATTACATAAAAGGCAAAAACATTTTTAGGCTTTTAATAAAAGGTGATGTCAAAATGGGCATTTTTATAATGGGAGTCTATGGAGCGCAACACAACAAACCAACTTTATGCAAAAACAAAAAATGCACCAAAGTCAATCTTCTCACTAATTATCCACCCTGATCGGCCAGTCACTGTGTAATAATGTGATAATGTGTGTAATGTGGTATTTGGCACAAACCGGCATCTAAAGGGTTAACTATTTATGGTAATGTATATAATCATTAGGTCGGTAGAAAAAGAACCCCTTAAGGAAATATATAAAAATTCATAAAGACTTTTTATGTTTGCAGAAAAATGGAGAACTCTGAAACAGGACCAGGGTCTGGAAGTAGACCCAGAGCTGAACCAGGACTAAACCAGGACTGTATCAGGTCTAAAGCAGGTCCTGACCCCAGTGGAGTCTCCCTGTGCAGTAACTTCTCCAAAGACTTGGTCGTCGACTTTAAAAAAGTCCAGAGTGGAGCGTCTGCACAGCTCAGGTCAGTGTCACAGTCACATTATAAAAGGATTTCATAAAGTTGGTTGTATGGTCGACCACTGCGGCCTCTCGAGTTAAAGGGACAGTCCAGAATTTTGGACATAGGGTCTCATTTCCTCGTGGTCCAGAGTGTTGGAGACGTGTGGAGACACTTTTTTAAATATTCCATCGGGTCCTTGTATTAGCAGAGGTCACTGGTGTTAGACTAGTGCATGTCAATGGTCATAGTTCTCCTAACACTAAAAACAGTCTTACCCACTCCACAGAAGAAAATCTATTATTACACCAGACTGTCCATGTGAATGTCTGTGTTGATAGAATAATTGTAGAAGTAAAACCAACCTTGCATTTGAAGGATTTCTGTCTGAGCAGCAGCAGTGAGTTGTACTTCCTGATAGAATTGTTGGCAGCAGCGGACTGATATCACCAAGCACCAGTGTTGTACCTGAACTCGTTCATTGAACGAGTTCAGGAGCACGTTCATATTTTGGGTGAATGTGAACTGAACGCACTGTTTTACTGCCTGATATACAAACTGTGAGCGTGTCCATTCTGGTGTCTGTGAACCGCATGTGCTTCTATTTACCTTCGTTCAATAAGGTGCTAGATTTCTTTAGTGTTCCAGGTGAAAACCCAACTAAACACACTGTCATCAGATCAGATGACAATGTGTTTAACAGATCAATGGAGCAACGACATCATGAAAAATGAATCAGTGAGCTTCACCAAACCAAACTTTAGTTCAGTCCAGCTGAGAGAAAAGCACAGACGTCTTTGCTCCACAAAAGCTTTTCCCTCTGCTCGACTGCACACATTATTTGCTGGTGAACATTTTGCGAGTGTTAGTGTGAGCATCATTTCCATGTACTAACCTTCACACAAGATGATTCCTGCCACATTGGTGAGTTCACAAACTCTTGACAATCCTTCCTGACTCCCGCTGTGAGGTTCAGATTCGCCCGGGTGGACCAATCATAGAGCAGCATTGAGGTTTGGTGTTGTTTTGACCGTTTCTTGGAGTCCCAGAAGCTGTCTCCAGAGTTTAAAAGGCAATTCTCTCTTTTCATGTTGTATTTGTTGTCAGGCAGCATTGAAAGGATGGTGTTTGACTGTTTTTATTTTTGATGTTTATAACGTCATTATTTGTGTTGTGTGTTTATGCTTCACACTCCAAACTTTTCTGTTTTACATTTCAAATAATACATCTGTGAATGTTCCTCAGAGACAACAGCGCCCCCTATGGACCCACCGCAGAGTCTCTGACAAGTGACAACTCCAAAGAACAGAACCCAGAGTTTAAAGATTCACATCAGAGGTACGGACTAAACCAGGACTAAACCAGGACTAAACCAGGACTGAAACCAGGACTAAACCAGAACTAAACCAGACTAAACCAGAACTAAACCAGGACTAAACCAGAACTAAACCAGGACTAAACCAGAACTAAACCAGGACTGAACCAGAACTAAACCAGGACTAAACCAGAACTAAACCAGGACTAAACCAGAACTAAACCAGGACTGAACCAGAACTAAACCAGGACTAAACCAGGACTAAACCAGGACTGAACCAGGACTAAACCAGGACTGAACCACGACTAAACTACAACTGAACCAGAATTACACCAGGACTGAACCAGTATTAAAACCAGGACTAAACAGGACTCTGTTTTTATTGGTTGACAGAGACGATGATCCGAGCGTTCCTGTTGGTCAGAAGCCTCAGGCTGAGCTGGACTCCATCTTCCAGGTTTGTGAACATAGATAGATAGATAGTTTATATATATATATATATATATATATATATATATATATATATATATTAAAAACAACATTTTGAACAGATGAAAACAGATTTGACTGTGCAGGAGAGAATGAGAAGACCTTTTTGGTCTTCTAAAATCACCTCCCCTATAAACATGATTTTATCACAACAGTCATGAACAGGCAAGTTGACTTTCAGTAGTCCAGATATTAAATAGCCTTACAAATCAATGTTTGCTTAATTATCTTTTAAAAAAGTCCAGTGAGGAAATTGATTTGAGAATATTTGCTAAATTATTCCAGAGGGTCGGCCCTGTGAACTTGAGTGTTCTTTGATTTATAGAAGTTCTGCACAAGGGAAGATAAAAGTCTCTGCAGTGTCTCGTAGTAAAGAAACACACACACACACACACACACACAAACAAACACACACACAGAGACACACACAATGTCAAGTCAGTGCTGATCTGTCGTGTTCTATGTTCTTCCCCTGGGCTCAATTATACAGCAGTTCAGTGACGTCACGTACCACCTTTTTCACGACGACATTCATTTACTGTTCCTTTAAGACCTCGGAAACACATAAGCTGACATGTTTACTCATCTGTCTGTCACAGGTGAAACAGTGACTCAGTGAAAACAGCCTTCAGCTGAACCCAGATAAAACCCAGACTCTTATTGTTGCTCCAGAACGTGCTGTCCCCAACATTAAACAGCACTTAGGTGCTCTGGGAAATTCAACTAAAACAACTTAAAAAATTTCTATACATCCATCCATCCATTTTCTTCTACTTATCCGGGGCTGGGTCGCGGGGGCAGCAGTCTAAGCAGGGACTCCCAGACTTCCTTCATCCCAGACACGTCCTCCAGCTCCTCCGGGGGGACCCCGGGGTGTTCCCAGGCCAGTCCAGAGACATAGTCCCTCCAGTGTGTCCTGGGTCTTCCCCGGGGCCTCCTCCCGGTGGGACATGCCCAGAACACCTCCTGAGGGAGACGCCCAGGAGGCATCCGGAGCAGATGCCCGAGTCACCTCAACTGGCTCCTCTCCACGTGGAGGAGCAGAGGCTTTACTCCGAGCTCCTCCCGTGTGACTGAGCTCCTCACCCTGTCTCTAAGGGAGACGCCCAGACACCCTGCGGAGGAAACTCATTTCGAGAGTTTGTATCCACGATCTCGTCCTTTCTGTCATTACCCAGAGCTCATGACCAGAGGTGAGAGGAGGAACGAAGACTGACCGGTAAATCGAGAGTTTTGCCTTTCACCTCAGCTCCTCTTCACCACAACTGTCCGATACAGCGACCACATCACTGCATACGCTGCACCTGTCCACCTGTCAATCTCACGCTCCATCCTCCTCTCACTCGTGAACAAGACCCCGACATACTTGAACTCCTCCACTTGAGGCAAGGACTCTACACCCACCTGGATAGGGCAAGTGTTGAGTTACGGTGTACTTTTGTTACAGCCAACGTTGCATTCGGGTGAAAAAGAGCAGACAAAAGATGAAGTTTAATCAGCCGCTTTTTGGCATATTTATTAGAGAACTGGCACCGAGAACTACGGCAAGCTCAAGTAAACAAAAATATATAAATTGACACACCTGCCATCTGTAACCTGCGCTGTAGCACCTCCCTGTGACATACAACTGAGGGCATGGTTAACATACTCTAACAGCCCCACTTGAACTCAGGTTGTTATACAAAAACAAAACAAAAATGTCCAAAAAGCACACTAGCAAACCTTTTCAGTTTCAACTTATTAACAGGTTTGGTCATTAGATCAGCGATCATGTCATCAGTAGAACAATACATCAAAGTCACACTCCCCCATTCACAGTAGACTTAATAAAGTGGTACTTTATATCTATATGTTTACACCTCCGTCTGTTTACAGGGTTCTTAGCAAGAGCAATCGTTCCCTGATTGTCCTCATGTATGATAGTTTGTGTGTACTCATATTTATCTATACCTCCCAGTAACTGTTGTAGGTATAAGCATTCCTGTATGGTTGAAGCCAGTGCCATATATTCTGTCTCGCACGTGGAGAGTGCAACGGTAGGTTGTTTTCTAGGCTTCCATGAGACTAGTGAGCTGTTACGGCTAAGGCTCACACCGTATCCTGTGGTACTGCGTCTGTCACTGTTATCAACTGCTCAGTCAGCATCATTGTAGACCTGTATACCTAGGCTCTCACTGTTGTTTCTCCTAAAGCTTAACCCTTTCTCTGCTTTACCTTTAAGGTAACTTAGTACATGCTTTACAGTGACCCACTGCTCCTCTGTAGGCTCTGCAAAATGTTGTGATAACCTGCTCACAACAAAACTTAAATCTGGCCTAGTACAGGTAGCCAGGTAAATCAGACTTCCCACATTTTCCCTGTACAGCCTGACATCTGCCATTTTTACAGCATCCTCAGTATACTCTAGCTTTTGCTCACAGGGTGTCTCTCTGGTTCTACAGTCTTGCATGTTAAAATGCTGTAGTATCTTATTAGTATATCTTTCTTGTGACATCTTTATACACCCGTCTGAATGACTGAAATCTATGCTCAGAAAATGCTTTAGTTTCCCAAAATCTTTCATTTTTAAACTGGTCTGCAAGCATCCCTTTCACCTTTTTCAATGTCTCTTCATTGCTTGCTGAAATGATTAAGTCATCAACCCAAGTGATTATGATCACCTTCCCTTCTTTTGACTCTTGGGTATATACACAGTTATCAGCCGGGTTTTGTAAGAACCCACTCTCAGTTAAACAGTCATGCAAAACCCTATTCCAATTGCGCCCTGACTGTTTAAGACCATAAAGCGATTTCTCTAGCTTATAGACTACACCGTCTTTCTCTTGATAACCCTCTGGTGGATTTATGTAGATTTCATAGTCTATGGGGGCGTGCAAGTATGCCGTTTTCATGTCCATTTGGTGCAGAAGTAAATTCTCCTGCACTGCTTTCTGCAGCACCACCCTTACACTCGTCAGGTCCGCTGTAGGTGAAAACGTCTCTCCATAGTCCACTCCCATTTTCTGGCTGTAGCCCTTGGCCACAAATCGTGCTTTGTATTTATCTTTTCCATCCTCATCAGACTTGATTGCGTAAACCCATTTACCCGGTAAATGTCTTGTTCTCATTTTAAGGACTCGATTTCTTCATCCATGGCTTTCATCCATTCTTTTGAGTTAGCTGACTTCATTGCTTCCCCAAATATCTGTGGAATGCCACACACCACTCTGCAGCAGTAGTTCACCGTGATATGAACCCCATCACTATCAGAGTCCTCGGTTACAAAGTCACTTAAGTAACTCGTTGTCCTTCTTTCTCTAGTTGGACACCTTTTACTCTCAGGTTCACCACTTGCTACACTCTGTTGTGTTTGATTTTGATCAGTAGACCTCGTGACTGCACCTGGACTACCACTGCATGAATTTCTACTTGGTTCACGTAGCTCTAGAGCATTTTCTGTAATTCTATTGTCCTCCTCACTAGTCCTGAGCCTCATTCTGTCATCGTAATCGCTTGAATCTTGCTCACCTGTCTGTGTCTGTTTTTCCATAGCTGCTTTGCTTACAAACTTTACTAGCCTGTGTTTTTGTACTTTGTTCGTGTCTGGGTGATACACCAAATACGCTGGGCTGTTTTTATCATATCCCACAAAACGCCCCTGGTCACATCTGGAGTCAAGTTTTTCCTTGTCCTGTTTGTAAGTGTAGCATACAGACCCAAACTTTTGCATTTTGGATACATTAGGCTTTTTGTCTGTCAGAAGCTCATAAGGAGTTTGCCTTGTATGCCTTTTAAAACACCTGTTGTGTACCACTGCTGCTGTTTGTATTGCATACTGCCATAGCTTCAGCTAGCATGCACCTACCCATCTCAAAAAGAGTAACCCAACCCCTTTCTGCAGTCCCATTTTGGTGTGGGGAATACGTAGCTGACGTTTAATGCCTGATCTTGTTTTTCCTCAACAGCGTTTGAAATTCACTGCACATGAACTCAGTTCCATTATCGGACCTGATACACCTCACTTTCCCATAAGGGGACACATCTGCTAGGAACTTTTCCGTAGCCTGCACTGTGTCACTTTTCTTCTTTAGGAAATATACAAACACTGTGTTCGAGTAGTCGTCAGTGAATGATTGCACATATTTCTAACCATCTATTAATTCTGTGACTACCGGACCTGCAAGGTCTGTGTGTACCATTTGTAAGGCTGCCTTTGCTCTGGTATCCGGGCCCCTATTTCTGGTTTGGGCAAATTTTCCCTGAATACACACCTCACACTCTTGTTCGGGTCTACCCAATTTGCCCTTGATCTGCATACCTTTGACAACATTCTGCAACCTAAGAACGTCATCATAGTTACAGTGGCCTAATATCTCATGCCAAGTTTTTATGTCGTGACATGCATTACACTTATCATTAGACTCTGTTTCGGTATGCAAATAATATGCCATATACATGAAAAACAAACCTGGTACTGCCTCTGGTTATGAGGACATCTTTATTTTCTTTAAAGACAACCGTAGTCCCATTCGTAGTTGCGGCCTTCACTGAAAAAATGCTTTGGGGGTACGATGGTATAAACAAAGCATCTTTCAGCGTCGCCTTGCATTGCTGTCCTCTGCTGTCGATGAAGAAAACTTAAGCATTCCCTCTTCGCTGAGCGATCCCATTACACTTAGTGCCATCTGCCAGCTCGACACTGTGCGTTTCCGGCCTAAAGGTGCAGTCGAAACTTGTGAACATGGCGATGTCATTGATAACATGAGAGGTAGCCCCCGTGTCCACCATCAGACCCCTCTTCTGGACACCGGCCCCTCTATCTGCCATCCCGAACACGTAGTCCTCCTCAGCATCATCTGAGACTTTAGTGACACCATCCTTTTTGTCCTTACTGTTTTGTCCTTACGCCTACATGTGGCATCTTTGTGAGTGTCACTTGTGAAAATACTACACCATGTTTTCTGTCCACATATTTTCGCTCGGTGGCCT